TGAGTGGGTGAGTGGGTGAGTGGGTGGATGGGTAGGTGAGTGGCTGCACAGTGAGTGGGTGGGTGGGTGGACGGGTGGTGGGTTGACAGGTGAGTGGGTAGATGGATCCATCCAGATGAGTGGAAGGATGGACGGGAGGAAGGCTAGATGGATGGATGCTTAAACGGACAAGTGGACAGTAAACCAGCAGTTAAGCGCACGGAGCGGGGGAGGGTAAACAGGGCGCGGGGGCAGGATCAGAACAGGAAGCTGTATGTGTCGTGTTGAGGAGGACTCAGCCGGGTTACCTGCTGCATCGCCGACTGAGGGAGAGCCGAAGGCACCATGTGCGGGCTGAGACGGCCACAGACCCGGCCAGCGGGGCAGGGACTCCTCGTAGCCACGGCACAGAAGCCAGCCTGGCCGCGTTGTACCTGATGTGGGGTCCTCCTGCCCCCACACGGTGGGCTCCTAGCAAGAACCGCAGGTCCTCTGCGCCTGGGCATGCCTAAGTCCACGTGGTGTCATGACCCCAGCCCCGGCCCCCAGGGCAGGTTCTGAGGGCCCGCAAGTCCCCCGCCCCAGGGGATCCTCTGTCCCATGCCCCAGTCTCCAGGCACCACTTCCCTGATCACAGGAGTTTGCAAACCAACCACTGGCACTTTTTCTTTCTCCTTCCTTTTTTTCTTTTTGTTTTTGGAGGCAGGATCTTCCTAAATTGCCCAGGCTGGCCTCGAACTCGCAACTCTCCTCCTCGCTTTCCTTGGAGCTGGGATCACAGGCCTGCACCGTGTTGCTCTTGGTCTTCGAGTGTTGCCTGCTTACCAATATTGCTGCCACTGACTCTTCTTCCTGATCTTGGTACCTCAGTTCACGAACAATTCTGTGAGGAGAGTCGCGGGAAGAGTTAAGCTTGTAACCTGAAGTACCACCGTGCTGGCTTTGCACCTGGGGCTGCTGATGAGGGGCTGGGCCCCCAGTGTGACTGACCACGAGGGGCCTTCCAGCCTCTCCCAGCCCGTCTCTACCATCAGCTCCAGAAACCCAGGGTCTGTGGGGTGCACCCCGTCCCCTTCCCCTGCTGCTCCACATTCTGGACGGGGCCCAAGAGCACGACTCAAAGACGCCAGTGCCGGGTCAACTCCTGGCATGCATTAAAGAGGGTGTGGAGGAGGGGCAGGTGAGAGAAACAGAGAAGGAAGAGGAGGAGACTGTCCTAGAGCCCCCGCCAGGCTTCTCTGGGCAGGGCACCCGCTGGTGAGGGTTTTCCAGGCTCTCTGAATCCGGCACCCTCGGCAGGGCCAATTGCCGCCCAGGGACCTGGGCCGCCCCCATCCCTCGGAGACGCCTCTTCTTTCACTCTGCAGTAACAATACCTCCCGCCCGCCTGCCCAAGGACCGTTACCCTGCTGTGCCAGCCCGTGCCAGGCTGGCTCGCTGCCTGGAGCTGACCCACTTCTGAGAAAGCACGGCTCCACCCCAGCTCTGTGGGGCTCGCGGGAGGCCACAGCTAGGCGGGAAGCTGGCACGGTCACAACCTGAGTGCGGCCTGCCGCAGCTGACTCCACAACCCCACGCCAGGTGGGTTCCGGTGGGAAGGAAGCTCCGTCCCTGGCTGGGCTCAGGAGCGTCCACTCAGCTGTCTTGGAGGGCCCACTGAGGCAGCTCCCACAGCCTGCGCTTACTGCAGCGGGTCCCCAAGGGCCCAGGGCAGGGGTCGGGCTAAGCCAGCCAGCCAGCCGAGCAGCCGTTCTCCTTGGAGCCTGGGGCACGTGGCCGTTTCATTCTTGCGCCAAGTGGCTCCAAACGCTGGCACGCAGGCCTCGCGGAGCCGCCCATCCGGCCGGCGCCTCCTTCCCGTCCCACTGGCAAAATGCACACGCAGCACTTGGCCGGCATCCTGCCTCCAGCGGGGAAGGAAGGGACCTGCCGGGTCACACGGGGACCCCAGCATCCTCAGAGCCAGAACCCAAGGCTAAATTAGGTCAAGCGGGTGTGGAGTGGCGCCGCGCCTGGCTGTGAGGCTGGCTGGCTCTGAGAGGCCTCACCTCTGCCCAGCGTGGGCAGTGGCTTTCCTCTTAGCCGACTGGTGGCCCTGCCAAGCTCCTGAAGAAATGGGGAACACCAGGAAGTAGGAGCGGGGACAGATGCCTCTGCTTCAGCCTCTGCTGCTGAAACTATCTACACCCAGCCCTGGCGGTGTCGCCAGAGGCAGCCCAAGGAGGCTGCCTCTGTCCCGCACACTGGACACCAGGGTAGGCCTGTCTCCCACATGCTGTCAGGCTGCACGGAGGCCCCAGCGGGTCCTGGCCTGGAGGACAGGCGCAGGCGCTTTCGGGTCAGGCGGCCCAGGTATTACCTGAGCACCAGGCCTCCTTGGAATAGGAACCTCAAGAGCTGGCTCCCTCCCCCGGGCTCCTGTCCTGTGCTCTGGCCAGGCTCCAGCTCCGTGCTGCAGGTGAGTGGGGCTTGGATGAGTGACTCACCGTCCCTGACTTCACGTCTGTGTGAGGGGGGACAGTGGGCCAGGCTTCCTGCAGCGTCCCAGCCCCGTGGGGCGCTTGCCCTCCCAGCACACGATGCTCCAGCTGCTCTGAAACCCTGATGTGTGCAGGGCAGGAGCCAGGCCGAGCGGCCGCTCTCTGCACACCCTTCGCTACCTACCTGTCCTCAGTAAGAACAGCAAGGGCGTGCGGCCTTCAGCTTGGCTGAGCTCACCCCACAGGAAGGACAAAGCAAGCCCTCGCACCCTGGCTCTGAAACTTCACCCCAGGCATCCGTTACCAGGAATTTATGCACGATAGTCAGGACCAACAGGCGGGTGTGGGGACAGCCCTGGACACCCTGTGCAGTGCTGGGAGCCTCAGCTCCGGAGCCGGGGATGAGGCCCAGGAGCCCCTGCATCCCCCACACTAGACACCGGGGTGCACGCGAGGGCACTCAGGAGGCCGGTCTCCGACACGCCGTCCGGCTGCAGCGGCCCCAGCGGCTCCTGGCTGGAGGACAGCTGCAGGCAGAGCCAGAAAACCAAGCCTGGAGCCAGCCAGCAAAGGGCTCAGGCTTCCCAGAGAGGCTCCTGCACACCCCCAGCGCTGTGCTTGGTCCAGGGCAGGACAAGGTCACCACTTGTGTTGAGGAGGGAAGGCTCGGAGCCTTGCCCAGTGGCCTGGCTTCCTGTGCAGGGCTGCATGACCGCGCCAAGCTGGGGTCTCACCTGCAGGTGCAGGTGGGCAGTGTTAGCTTTGCTGGTTCCCACTGCTGGTGCCGGTGCACTGCACTTTCGGAATGAGTCCATTCTAGCAAAAGTGGGTCTGTTTAACCAGTGCAACTAGGCGATAGCTGAGCTCATGCACAGAGAAGGCCACAGGCACAAGGTGGCCCTTGCCTGGTGCCAGCTGCACACCGTACCTGTGGCTCTTGCAGAACCACAAGTGCGCGGCACCCTGGACATCGCACCCCACGGACGCCTGTGCACTGCCCCTGTCCTGCACACGAAGCCTGCCGTCCCAGGCTCAGGGACAGGTGGCTTGGTCTCCCTAACTCAGGAGGCGGCAGGCAGGGCAGGCCGTGTGGCTGCTGCAGGGTGCAGACTCTAGGGAGCAGCTCTGGAGGCGGCCAGGGAACCACCAGGGCGCGGTGCTGCGTGGGTAACACACCGCACGGCAATCCGCCCGATGGAGGTAGGGCGGGCATCCACGGCCGCAGGAAGCCAGGAACTTTCCTTGCTAGGCAGGGAGGAGCCTGGTGGTCTTCCTGTGTGTGGGCCTAGGGATGAGGCCCCTCCTGCATGCAGACAAGCGGGCACCACAGCCCTGCATCTCCCACACTGGACACAGTGTGGATGCCAGTGCCCTTGGGGAGGCTGGCAGCCTAGAGCTACGGTGGCCAAGCAGAGCTGTGCAGCGGGCAGAGTCCCTTGGCCTCAGCTCCCAGCCCCCTGCAGCTCCCCCCTGCCACCCCAGAGCCTCTCTGGACTCAGCACCAAGCGGCAGGGGGCTGTTCTTAAAGGCGTCATCGGGATGTGTGAGGCCACAGGAAACAGCCCCCAGCTCCCCCACGAGGACAGGTCCTCCCCTCGAACAGAGGCCAGCTGAGGGGCAGCCTGGTGGGCTCCCTCGGGCCTAAGCTCACGGGTCACATGTCCACTCCTTCTGCTGGAGCCCCTCAGCACGGGCCTGCTGGCTGCTCCTGCGGGGCCAAGCACCCGGTGTCCCCTGAGGGCAGCAGCTGCCAGGGAGGAGAGGGGCTCCCCGGGATGGTGGCTTCCCCAGGCTCCCAGCCGCATCCCCTCGCACTCACGCCGTCTGTACAGGCCGCAGCCGGAATGGTGGGGGCAGCACTTCCAGGGGCTGCAGAGCTGCCGCCTCACAAGGGCCGAGCCGGGGACAGGCTCAGGCCCCTTCCAGCAGGGCCGTCTCTGCTGACCCTGGGGGCGGCTCAGAACCCAGAGCTCCAGTGAGCAGATTCTCCTCAGTCAAGTGACGCAGAGCCTGCCCTTGCCGGGGACAAATGCCCGCAGGGAGGCCCAGCACAGCTGGCAAACGGCGTGGAATGAGTGTGGAGTCTTGTGCAAAACTGTGGAAATGATTTTAAATGGAAACGCACAGGGCTTCTGGAAGGAGTGGACGGAACTGTCGCACCTTTGGCCTCGCGATGTGCACGGAGCAGGCAGGGGCAGAACTTACCACCCCCACCCCCCAGCACCCCGGAGAGGCGCCGCAGCACTGCGTCTGCGCTCTGGACTCGGGGCCCAGCTGCAGTGGAAAGCCTCCGCCGTCACGGCAGGGGCCCGGGGGCTGGCGGCACGTGAGACCCCAGTGCGCTCTACTCCAGGTCCCTTGGGGAAGCGGGCTGAGCCCACAGTGCCCAGCACCAAGAGGCCAGCCACGTGGAGAAGTGGAGAAGTGTCCTGCACCCCGGTTCCTGCATGGGGAGGTCGGTGCCCTGGCTCTGTGAAGGGCGGCTCACAGTGCCTGCCTCTTCTTGGGGGGCCGAGGTGGCCGCAGCTCCTGAGGCCCGTGGGCAAAAGGGCAGCTGGCGGAGGGCAGCACGCAGCCGTCGGGGTGATGCGTGAAGAACCAGCAGGCGCGAGTCTTGAAGGTCTCGGAGCTCGATCCCCGCTTGGCCTCGGAGCGCTTCTCCCTCTGCAGTTCACGTCGCCAGTCGCGGATGTGGACTCGGCCGTCCAGAACTGAGGCATGAGCACAGAAGACAGGCCCGGCACGTTACCCCAAACGTCTCACTCACGGGCCTTTGTTACGCGCCACCGCAGGGAGGACTGACAGGGCCAGGCCCACAGAGAGCTTGCGGTGGGGACTGGGGAGTTGGCGGGAGGGACCTGGGAGCTGGGTGAGCGGGGGCCTGCAGGGGGTGAGGAGGGAGCCCCCGCGGCAGGCCCAGGGGACCCCGTGTGGAGCCAGCCTACCTGAGGGAGAACATGGCACAAGGTTGGTTGCTCGTGGCCCCGACCCCTCCCGGTAGACCTGGGGCTACCATGTTCCCAGGCTGTGGGCCCTGCCCAGGCCCAGGGAACCCAGGGCGAGGCCCACACACAGGGACACCTGTGCCAGGGGCTGGTCTTGACGTCTCAGCATTGCTGGTGAGCGGGGAGGGGGAGGGCAGGTCACCCACAGCGTGAGGTACGCTGGGCCCACACATCTCTACCAGCTGAACCCTCCGGGTGCCCACAGCGGTGACAGGGACAGAGCCCTGGGTGCAAGAGGGGCCTGCAGAGCCTCACGGCGGGTGCCAACCCACAGGTGCCTGGGGAACGGGGAGCGGGCACGGGGAACGGAGGGCCGGCTGACCACGAAGCTGGGGGCCGGGGAGCAGGGCAGGCAGCTCCGGGCCACCAGGACCCCGGGGTCAGGCCGAGGCCCCATGCCTCCCTTGGCCTTTCACGCTGTGAAGCCCTAGTGCCACAGGAAAGGCGTCCGAAGCAAGCGAACCCGCCGGGCTTCCCAGCGGTCACGCGGCCCCCACAGCAAGGCGCAGGGCCGAGGGCCTCACTGTGCGTCTGTCCCTAGTGGCCGCCGGCCCTTGAGAGCAGCAAGCACAGCTGTAGGTCAGCTTCCATCTTTTCCCTCCAGAGAAAGGAGCCAGGGAGAGGCGCCGCTCTGTCCCGAGGGAGAGCAGGAGGATCCGTCTGCAGGGACAGCCCGGAGCCCTGTGGCGCCTCCCCGAAAGCCAGAGCTTGTTTTCCCTAACCTGACGCTGGCCAGGCGGCTTTGGGTCACTGCGAGGTGCGCTCACAGCAGCACCAGGCCAGGGAGTGGTTACCAGGGCCCGGAACCCAACTGTGTTCCGAGGGAGCACACCCCCAGGCCCCACGGGGCAGGGCCCGCATGGCCTCTCCACAGGACGGCGGCTGCAGCAGGCCCTCCACGCAGACTTGGGAACCCGACTCCCCGCCGAGACCCCGGGGGTGGCCTGCAGCCTGCAGGGAGAATGGGCCAAGGGAACTTTTAAGCCTGGCAGTGGACATGGAAGACAGGAAGAGGGACGCTGAGAGGGCAGCGGCCAGGCACCAGGGCAGCACTGCCAACCCAACTACACCCCAGAATGCAGGCAGCTCACCGCCAGCCACTCGAAACACCCAACATCCTGGGCAAAAGGTGCCAGGTGCCTGAGGGGCAGACCTCCAGGGGTCAGCCCTGGGAGCGCAGGGTCAGGCTGCGAGCTACCCCAGCTCACTGCCCTCGTGTCCCATCACCCCCGGCTCACTCGGCGCGTCCCCCCAACACCCTCAGGAGCACCAGGCCTGGGGCAGGCGTGGCTGGGGTTGTCCCCAGCTCTGCACTCCCTCAGACCTTGGGCCCGTGTCCCCTCCCACTGACGCATGCAATTGCGGATGGGGCCAGCACCCACTGAGCAGGGCCCATGCAGGCCCCGTCCTCGAGGGCTCCACACCCTGGACTTCTCAGACTGCGGCGCCGCGGCCCCAAGCCTTCACAAGCACAGAAACGTCCAGCACTGGCTGACCCAAATCGCTGCAACCCGCTTCCTTCCTCACCCTCATCAGGAGCAGCCACGTTCACTTAAGAAACAAAACCAGCCTCAGCCAGAGATAAGACTCAGCTTGGGCGCATACTTTCTGCATGACTGCAAGGAGAATGTTTACTTGGCGCTCAGGCCCCAACCCTCCCACTCAGAAGCGGCTCCAAGAATACTGCTGCCCCGACGCGCACCGCACAGGAAGGCCATCACACACATGCATATTTATAACGGTAAGGAAAGACACTCTTCGCGAAATCAAAGACAAAAATGTGCTGGGAAAACAGAAAGAAGAGCGCTCCCTCGGGCCACAGCAAGCACTTTAATTGATTAAAGCTTTGTGGAAGGAAGAGTGGATTCCAGGCACGGCTGCCCAGCTCAGCAACTCCTCCTGGGGGCCCAGCCTCGGCCTACACCAGCCAGACTCGGGCTCTGGCCGTGTCCACAGGTCGCCCAGACCCCGCAGCGCTCCCGCAGAAGGCCAGGGACACAGGCCCAAGGCCACCGCGAGGTCAGCCAGGCCACAGAGGCAGTGAGGGCACAGCTGTGCTCTTGTGCACACTCACACACACACAGGCCATGCGTTCACACACATGCTCGTGGGCCCGTACACACCCATGCTGCGTACACACACACACACACACACACACGTGTGCACACACAACATGCATGCACATCTGCACAGCCCCTCTCGCACGGGCAGTGTGCACACACGTGGGGAGACCGGGAAGAGGAGCAGGTAGCACTCCAACCCTCAGGCCTCGCGTCTGTGGGACGAGGTGCAGAGCTGCACTTCTGTCACCTGCTTGTTCCCAGCCAAGCCTCCGTCCCCAACTCCCAGGGTGACGGCCTGACCACCTGCCTGGCTGCAGCGCAGAGGCAGCAGGGGAGCCGCCTTTCCCTGGCACCCTGCACGCAGGCAGGTGCCGCCTGCTAGCAGACGCCTCATGCAGAGGCTGGTCCTGCACTAGAGCTGCTGCTGCTTCTTACTGAGGCCGTGCAGACTGCACCTGACCCCTGGGCCAGGCTGCGCAGGTCCTCCGGCGGCCACCCTTCTCTCGCGTGTGGGCTCCAGCCCTCGCCCCAGTAAGCGGCCCCATCCTCCCCAGCCTGGCCCCCGTCCTTCCCGAAGGTTTGCCCAATTGCTGTGCTGCAGCCTGAGCCCAAGCAGCACTGCCCAAGTCAAGGTCTCCTGAGTGTCAGTGGGACCAGCTGCACCCCCTGCACGTGGTGACTCAGGCTCAGAGCAAAGCGGAGAGTCCAGAAGACGCCTGTTTCTAAAGACGCACTGCAGTGCACAGGGGTTTGTGTTCAAATACTTCACAAGGAAAGGGAAAGGAGCCCGGGAAGCAAGCACAGCACACTGCAGGGCGAGAAGACACAGGCCCCGGGTTCTTCCTACCATGCCATCTCCTGAAAGCTCACCCCAGAGCTCGGCAGCCCTCTAGCGCTGGGGCCTGGTAGACGCCTCGACTGCCCGGGAGGTCCTTCCGGCCATGCCACAGCCCTGGAATCTCTGGGCACAGGAGCAGCCAGAGCCCAGCCTCGCTGCACTGCGAGGTGCCTCAGCCTCCACTGCGATGCGCTCGCGCCCAGCCCACACGGACGCAGCTCCAGAAGCACCACGTGCAGGTAACCAAAGCCAAGCTGCGCACCCCACCCAGGCAAGTTCTCAGGCGACAGGAGACGCTGCCACCAGGCCTCCCGCCCTGCTTCCTGTGAGGAGGAAGGGAGTGAAGTGGAGGAGGGGATCCTGGCATCCTGGGTCAGAGCTGGCATGGGCTGGGCATGGGCTGGACCAGGGGCTGAGAGGCCAAGCGGGCAGGGTGCTCGTGGCCCGAGGGATGAGGCTGGCGTGGCCCAGGTACTCCCGACGGTCTCAAGCGGAGACCTGAGGCGAGGGGGGCACAGGGACCTGCGGTGGCCGCCCTCACCTTCGAACACCTGGTGGCAGTTGCGCAGCAGTGTCTGCAGGCCGCCGCACTCCCGCTTCAGCCTCCGCAGGGTCGCCCCATCCAGCTGCTGGGCCACTGCCGCCAAGGACAGGCTCTCTGTGGAAGGGTACAGAACTTGGCCAGGCGGCTCCGCCGAACCCCACCAAGCCCAGCCCCACTTCCGGTGCTTCAGTCCCACGAGTGCTCAGCAGGTGGCCCTGGCACCTTTAGTGAATCCACAGCACACTCTGGGACGAGTGCGGCATCGCCTGGGCAGCAGGCACAGTGCGGTCCCTCCTGATGGGCAGCCTGGGCCTCAGGGGCACTGCCAGAGCCTGCTGCTGGCCCACAGGGGACAGTGGCTGCTCCAGGCAACCAGGGCAGCTGGCGGAGGGCCAGGGGTGAGGTGTGACAGGACTCAGCTGCCCAGGGACCGTCTCTACCACTGGGGACTTCTGCTTCTGGAACCTGCGTTCCTGTCAAGCTCCCTCATCAGGAAGCCTAGTGGCAGTGAGGTGAGTTTAGTACCAGAACCTCGAACTCAACGCGAGACCAGGGGTGGTCTCCCTGCGTGCATCTGCCAAGAACCTCCTGTACCTCACCTGTGCCTTCCACCTGCCCGCAGGTGAGCGTGGACCAGGGCCCCGCAGCACCTCCCACCCCGTCCTCACTGCAGATCTGAGCGTCTGCCCAGCCCAGGCCCAAGGGTAGCTGCTCCTGTCCTCCCCGATAAAACCCTCCCAAAGCCCAGCCCACCCTCCAGGCCACCTGGCCACCGCCTCTGAGCTGTCCTGGGAGCAGGTGGGGGTGTGAAGAGGAGATGACACATGGTCCCAGAGCCTGCCCTGCCACATCAGGTCCTGCCGCACGAGGAGGTCAGCGTGACCTGCACAGGGAGACGCCCAGGCGACAGATCTGACAGGCAGCGGTCCTGTGCCCGAGGGCAGGCGTGTGGGTGGTGAAGCCCAATGACCACAGGCCCTACAGGCCACTGCATCCCTGCAGGCTTGCCTGGGGCCGGGCAGGACAGGACGAGGCCACCTCTCAGAGCCACCTCTGTCCAGGGTCTGCTCCTGGGATTTTCTGTCCCCAGCGGGAGCCAGTGCCTCCACCATTCACATCACCTCAAGGGACAGGAAGGTCAAAGTGCAGCAGAAGTTCCTCTCCTGCCAGGATTTACAGACCCACCGGCGTCCAGTCCGCACTCACACTGCCCAACCCTCAGCCTGAGCGAGGGCCGCTCGGGGCTGGGTTACTTCTGGAGGGGAGCATGAGCCGTGGGTCTGTCCTCACCAGCGCTTGAGATGAGACAGGGTGAGAGGAGGGGGGAAACTGGACCCTGCAGCCACAGATGAGGACCACGAGCCGCGGGCAGAAGGGGCCGCCGCCACGGCCCTGAGCTGCCTACGCTGCGCTCCTTGCCGTCCTCCTGTCCCCAAACTGCCAGCTGCAGGAGCACCTCTGTGAGGCTCCACTCTGCGAATGGCCCCACAGCGCCCTCTGGCGGCCAAACTCGCAACTCCAGCATCCCTCCCAGGAGAAGCCCTGCTCCTTGAGGCGGCCTGAGGTTTTTTTAAGGCACTGAAATCAACGTTTTAGTGAATGTAACGGCAACTCATCCTTCGGCCCCTCACTCTTGAATGGCACTAGTCGCTCACGAGGACAATCAGATGCAGCTGCTTCCTTTATCAAAATGGATTCTTGCATTTTGGCTACCTCATGGAGAATTACGGATCAAACTGAGTATTCTCAAATTCCAGCCATGTATTTGAGGGGAAAGGGCATTTTCCTGCTCCAAGGAACATGTGTTCCCGCCAAGTAATTTCTGCACGTTGAAAATGAGCGGCCCTGGCCCCTGCCCCACGTCTGTAAGGCGGACTGAGAGCCCAGCCTCAGCTCCCTCCTCAGCTCCCTTGGGCAGCAAGGCCGCTACACCAACCTCCGGTCTCCGGCACAGGTGGCCACGAAGGACCCGCATGTGCCTGCCGGTGATACAGCCAGGCACGGCCTGGGCACCGGGCGGCCTACCTCCTCCATTCCAGGTCTTCCAAGTCCCCTCCTGCGGGCTTCCTGCGCTGGGCTTCTTTCCGCCTAACAATAAATTCGCCACTTGCAAAACCACTTGGTCGATAAAGTCTCGAGGGAGGGCGGCACAGTTCCTCACGCGTTCCACCTTTTCTCGAGGGTGGAATCCAGGCACCCAGGGGCCCCCAGCCCGGGCCTCGGCCCCATCCTCAGGAACTGGGGCCTCAGGGTTACACTGAGCTCCGGTGTCCAAGGCTCCGCCGCCACCTGGGTGACCGGCACTGCAGGCAGCAGCCTGGGGTGCAGGACAGGGAGGCTCCCTGCCAGACAGGCCCCGCCTGCTGTGGATGTACTGAGCCCTCTGCTCATCCATGCCAGCTTCCGCGGCAGGAGGGTATATCCTGGACTTCCCAATGAGGCAGACCTGCATTTGCAAAGAGCAAGTGTCTTAGCTGGCTCACATGATATGCCAACCTTCTCCACGGATTCTTCTGGAATACAGATTACATAAATAGAGATTATCAGCTACCAAAAAAAACCACTTTTTTTTTCCAGTGGGGAGATGGAACCCAGGGGCTGGCTGGCACGTGAGACGGCAATCTCTACGGCTGAGTTACACCTGCAGCCCTAACATAACCAGAGTAAAAGTCCACAGCTATCTTATCACACAGACCTTCACAGCTCTCCCGGGGGGGGGGGGGGTCCAAGCTAGGGCTCACAGCACCGAGCTCAGTGGCTGCCCTGCTCTGATCAGGTCCCTGGGGCAGCACAGCACCACAGAGGACTCAGGAGCAGCCAGCAGGGGCTGTGAGGGGGCGGGCTCTGTGACAAGCCTGCCGCAGCGAGGGCCCGGGGCACCTGCAGGGTGCTTGGTACAGAAAGCTGGCCATGGGCGTGAGCCACCCGCCTCTGTCCCGAAGTGCTGCTGGGGGCGGGGGTTCCTCCTGCACTCCATCTGGGCATCAGCCACTGCGCCAGGGAGCAGCGGATCAAAGAAAGCAGATCCGTATCAGAGCCACTCTGCCACCCGCTCCGAGTGGCTTCAGCTTCGCGTCAGGAACACAGCAGCGCCCAGCGCATGTTCAGCCCCAGCAGACATCTGCTGAGTGTGCCAGGCTCACCCCCGCTCTGCCATCGGTCCCTGAGCCATCCAGATGTGAGTGCACTGAGGCTCAGAGACCCAGTGACCAGCAACAGCCCCCAGCGGCAGGGAAGACAACAGCAGGTACAGAGTCAAAAGCGGCTCTGTGCCCGGCCCTAAGCTTTCCTGTACCCGCTTGGTGGAAGGGATCCGAAGGCAGTCCTCCTCCACGTGGAAGCCGCAGGCCCGGCCCACCTCCTGGATGAAGTCCAGGTACTCTCGGTACTGCGTCTTCTGGCTCTGCCTGCGGCAGTACCTGCCAACGAAGTCGAAGAAGCAGCAAGGCAGCACGAAGAACCGGCAGCGGTAGGAAGACCTGGGAGGGGCCGAGCACACACACAGGCTCGCACAGGCTCGCCCGGAAGCGGCAGAAAGCTGAGCGGCAAGGGTGCCGGGCAACGTAAGCACGTCTGTGCCTGGTTTGTTATATGAAAATGAATCTCAGCCTCCCCAGCTGGATCTGCAAGAGCGACGCAGCACAGCACGTCCTTTCAATAACAGGAATCTAGTTGTTTACAAAAGCTAAGTTCCCACCACAGTTATTCTTGTAAACTGTGATCTGAATTTTCTGAAGCTGCCTGAGAGTTCAGTGATGATACAGAAACCCAGCGGTAGGCACAGCAAGGGCTGACCATAGTTTAAAAAATAAAACAGGTGGAATTTCCTTTAAACTTAACCCGTACACCCAACGAAACACCATTTCAACAGGCTGAACTGCCCATGCTTCCAGGGTGGCTCCACCCGACAGCGTGTGTAAGGCAAGGCGCCCTGCTGCCTTCCGGGTGCCCCCTCTCCTCCTCACCTGGCTGCGATGACGGGGATCCAGGGCGTGAGCTCATCAGAATGGTTGCCGATCAGCCAGTCAGCGTCAGGGAAGAGGGTCTGGTCGCTCGGGCGGATCGCGTCTTCCTTAGGGAGCAGCACAAAGCAAGACGAGATCATGGCGTCTCACGAGCCTCAGGGTAGGGCCACCCGCGGCACCACCTCCCTGGACCCGAGCACCTCTGGGTCACCAAAAGCAAGGAGGTGACGCCCGTCAGGGTCGGCCTTTGAGGGCTCAAACCGCAGGCTGCAGTGCAGGGTCACCCCTGGAGAAGCTCCGGCCCTGTGGGCACTCATCTTTGGCGATTAGAAACGTGCTTTTTATGTGAGCACAGGAAGGATGTTCAGGAGAGATGGGAAGTGTGACCTGCGACCCGGCGGAATACGGAAGTTACAAGCAGCCGCGGGCAGGCCCTGCCATCTCCCAGGGGAGCCGGCTGCAGCAAGGGCAAGTGCAGGAAGTGACGCAGGCGAGAACGCGCGAGTCCCACAAAGCTGTTGCCTTTGCACCTGTCCCACGCTGCCCTCTGACTCCCGCAGCTCGCCACGGGCTCCCCAGAGCACGGAGAGGGGCGAGAGGCCACGCCCAGCCACACCGAGCCCAGAGGGGAAGAGCACGCAGAGCCACGCTCTCACTGCCACGGCCTCCTGCGGCCACCAGGCAGGCAAATGAGAATGGAAACCGTATAGTCGTTCTGGTTCTTAAGCGACACGATCCTCTATTTACGAAGATGTTAAAAAACAGAACACAACGTTGTTTGACCAGTTAAGTACATAACCTAGAGTTGAAAAAATAAACCTTGATTCTCATTCATTCTAGGTTTAAATGTGCCAGTTTGTCCTTTTGGTGCTTCAATGAATTGAGACACAACTTACACTCCAGTAACTGCCGCAGTCACACTACCGCCAGCTGGGCACACAGCCCTGCCCACCTCAGACAGCGCGTCCCCTGACGTCGTGACCGCGACTAGCGCAGCATTCCCACTGTACACACAGCTTCTCAAGACCAAGAGAACCTGCGCTCTCCACAACGCTGCTGTTATAAACACGCACTGTTCTCCTAACACTCTTGCTCACAATCAAATGAGGCTTTGCAAAGAAGAGAGATTTTGAAAGGAAATTGTGTGCATGACTGGCCTGTGAATTTCTAGACGACCCCTGTATGGAAGCCACTCCACTGCATCGGGAGGAAATCCTTTACTGGGAAACCCATGTACCTGCTGACAAAACTACTCCCGTATGACGTCGGTGGTCCCTGGGCCAGAAGCACCACAAGGTGCTTGACATTCCAGTAAGCCACACAGGCACTGAGACCAGGGACAATGAGATAAACCCAGGAGATCAGAAGCACAACTCCCAGCAATGGCCTGCCCTACCTGTGCACTCAGGCAGGGCTTCTGCAAGCCAGAGAAAAGCTGTGGCGGCCACCAGGACCTCACGCTGCTCCTACGGCACCGCACACGGCCTAGCCCTCACCTCGCCTAATTCAGAGCCAATCTGCTGTGTGTGTAAGAATCTACACTCTGCAGGGACCTGCAGAGCCTCGCAGCACACCTGCCAGCTTACCCACCTTTTTCAAAGCTGAACTTCATGTACACTCACTATGAAGTGTAAGTATATAAGCAATCATAAAACAGCAAAACGTAAGTAATGAATAAATAAAGGGGGATGTAAGGCAGCTACAGTGAGCTTCTGGTCCTTTAATCCTTTTCTTTTTTTGCAATATTATTCTCAGTTTTATTTTTTTTAATTTTTTTGTCTTTTTGAGACAGGGTTTCATTATGCACCTCAGGCTGGCCTTGAACTCACAGCAATCCTCCTGCCTCAGCCTCCCGAGTGCTGGGATTATAGGCATGAGTCACCATGCCTGACTTATTCTCAGTTTTACTGGATTCTTTTTTTTTTGGAACTGGGAATTGAACTCAGGACCTCACACTTGCCAGGCAGGTGCCGTGCTGCTGAGCTATATCGCTGGCCCTATTCTCAGTTTTAAAAGGTGAGGCAGCCAGGTGTGGTTGTGCACGCCTGTAACCCCAGCACTCAGGAGGCTGAGGCACAAGGATCAGTGCAAGTTTGAGGCCAGCCTGGGCTACAAAGTGAGCTCAAGGGCAGCCTGAACTGCATAGTGAGACCCTGTCTCAAAAGGACAAAAAAAAAAAAAAGTCAGGCATAGTGGCACATACCTGGAATCCCAGCACTTGGGAGACTCAGGCAGGAGATCACTGAGTTTGAGGCCAGCCTGGGCTACAAAGTGAGTCCAAGGCCAGCCTGAACTGTTTTCAAAAAATAAAAAAAAAAAGCCTCAAAAATTTTGTTTTCTACTTACAGATGAAATGAAAATACCGGCTGCTCCTTTCAAGTTCCCATGTGGGTGGCGTGTGGGGCAGGGGTGGTGGAGGAGGAGCCACTGCTGCAGCTGGCTGCTGTGCACCTGTGCCCATTGCTTTCCGCCCTCTCCTTGGAGTGCTCCTGACACCCACCCGGAACAGCTAACCCACACTCTGCCCTCCTGCCAGTGGGGGTCTGACCTGTTACAGCCACCAAAGGTCCTGAGGAAGCCTGGCAGCTGGGCAGAGGCCGCACTGCAGGAAGTACAGCTGCGCACACAGTGCCACTGCCCTCCTGCAGCTTCCCTGCAGGCTGAATGTCTGTACGAGCCGCCTGGAAGAGCATGCAAGGGACACACGGCACAGGCTCTGCCCCAGCAGCAGCCGGCAGCCCGCATGGAGCCACAGGCTCAAGGGCCGGAGGCCAGGATGACCAATGGCAGTGGGAAGCCTCAAGTTTCCCTGTCTGATTTCAGTCTCACACTAGGTGGATGTGCACGGTGAGGATGCCACGCCAACTACACAGAGACGGGCATTCCCTCAGGTCCACGCACGGGCAGCGCCAGTACCTCTAGCCGAGTGTGTGGTCCATACATGTCCCAGATTTTCCTTCTTCGGACATCGATCCCTCTTCCTGGATGCTGAAACAACAGTTTCAGTTTAAGAGGTCACAGGTTAAATTCCACACTTGATCTTAGCCAAGAGGCCGAGAAGCGATAGATAAATTCACTGTATCCCCATAAAGCAGCAGGAACCAGGAAAAGCTCGGCCACCAGAAGCGGGCACGGGAGCCCCTGGTGTTTGTGGATGGTACGCGCAGTCTCAGCCCTACAGGCCCTGGCAAGGCGGGAAAGAACCTGAACCCTGCAGAAGTCGCTGCGAGTCTTCAAGGGACTGCAGGGGCCTTGGTCTAGGACAGCGCCGAGGGAGTCCCGTGACAACCTGAGGCAGCTCTCCATTCCCTGTCTGGGTCAGTTGCGGGGCAGGACGGCTCTCCCTGCAGCTGCCCCCCCCCCCGCCCCAGTGGCTCTCCCAGGAACCCCACTTCTCCCCATGGAGGAAGGAGGGGTCTCCAGCAGTGCCCTCACCCCAGCTCCCGAAGCCCCACAAGTGACCGGCGCCTGGCATCAGCACATCGTCCTCATACACGCGTGGCAGGCGCCTCCCACCCCGCTCGCGTGCCCACAGCTGTGCTCACTGCCCCCAGCGCCGGCCAGCTGAGTCCCGACCCTCCGGAGAGGCCTCAGAGCCCACTTACCCCTTCACTGCACAGGATGTGGGCCAGGAGGCCGTTCCCGCACCCCAAGTCCACAAAGGACTGCCTGGCGCTCACGCCCCGCTCGGCTCGCTCCTCTTCCCACAGGATCTGAGGCACGGGAAAGGCACAGCAGGGCCAGCTGCTAACTCGCCCTGCGCAAGGGAGACCCACACCCACACCCAGACCCCACCGGGCTGGCGAACTGCACTCCTGGGGAGGGTGGAGAGGCCTCGTCTGAGGGCCTGGGCCGCCTGCCAGGTGACTCACATAGGCCTGCCCTCTGCCTGGAGGACGCTGGGCCCAGGCACCGCCCGAACTGAAGTTAATTTGCCCATCAGGAGTCCACACTCAGGGCTGGAGTACAGCTGAATACTAGAACATACGCCCAGCCACTCCTCCCCCACCGCTGCCCGCAACCCTCTCCCCACACCCCCCACCTACCCTACTCCAAGCCCAGCAAAGGAGGCCACACTCAAGTAGTTATCTGTGGGCACTGCTTTATAGCTAGGATAGTTTCTTCACGCTTTCTCTATGTCCTTCAAGTTTTGTATATTTATGCCAGGCATGGTGGTGCATGCCTGTAATCCCAGCACTCAGGAGGCTGAGGCAGGAGGATCGTTGTGAGTTTGAGACTAGCCTGGGCTACAAAGTGAGCACAAGGCCAGCCTGAACTGCATAGCGAGACCCTGTCTCAAAAAGACCAAAAAAACCCAAAAGTTTTATATACTTTGATAATCAAAAACATGCTATTTCTAAACCATCTAAGAGAAATTCCAAATTGAAGGGAAACTTGAAATTATTTAGTCCAAACATCTAGTAAATGAGACAGACAATCAGGATTAGGGTACTAAGTTAAAGTCACAGCCGCATTTGGCGGACTGCTGAGTAGCTAAGGAAAGGTCTGGGGACAGAGACACTGAGGCTCCTCTGTTCCTCCTTGGCCGCTGTGAACCACAGGCCAGTCCAGCCTGCACTCTTACAGTTCAGCCACACAGTTCAAACCTGAGTTACATGCACACAAAAGGACTGCGCGAAGTGGAACGGGCACCCCCTAACCAAGTGGGCAGACAGCCCGTGACCACGCAAGCTAGGGAGCTAGTCAATGTGCCTCACTGCTTGTGGTCTCCGCCTGCAGCAACCCCCATGCACTCCACGTAAGTGTGAACACCGCAAACGTGCTTACCAGCAGGTATGCAGCGATAGCCACGTCTTCATACACAAACTTTTCAGGATCAGTTACCTCAGGCCACACCTGAAAGTTTTTTGAGAGCAGATGTAAACTGTTACTCAGTCACCCCATTACTGCACAAGACTTAAGTACCCCCAAAAAGCATAACTCAAACTGAAGGGATCATACAATAAAATAAAAACTGTCAGCCCCTTCCAAAAGTACAAATTTACAATTGATTTCTTTCTTTCTTTCTTTCTTTCGTCTTTTTGAGACAAGGTCTCACTATGCAGTTCAGGCTGGTCTTGAACTTAGTATGTAGCCCAGGCTGGCCTTGCACTTGCCACGATCCTCCTGCCTCAGCCTCCCGAGTGCTGGGATTACAGGTGTGTGCCACCACACGGGGCTCTACAATGGATTTATGATGAGACATAAAGACACACAAAATTACCGTGCTTCATGTGTGTAACAGGACGTGTCAGTACTCTGCAACACAAGGTGAAGCCTAGGCCTAACACGATGCTCATGGAGGCATCTCAGGCTGCATAGCTGCACCAAGGTGCAGCCTTAGTGCTAAACCACAAATGTGCAGAACGGACACTTGGCAGAAGAGGAAAACCCAGAGACCAATGTGTAACGCTGAGACATTGCCGGCAGAGTGCATAGCCCAACTCAGGTGAACCACCTCACTGTGAACAATTTAAAAACCTATGAAAATGTAAGCACCTTCCTGAAGGTTCCGAGCAGCAAGCAGGACGGGGAAAGACCCCGGCGCAGAGGCTGTGAGCGAGCACAGCCCAGCTGCAGGCGGCCCGCCCACAACCCCCAAGGTACACCAGCATCGCGCACCGTCACTGCTTCAAGCCCGCAGCTTTTGGGGTGCTCACCGCAACAGGTGACTAGTTAAAGGAGATGTTCTCATGAAATTTATTTCCTTTTGGGAGTACAGTATGTTCTTTTGCACTCTAGCTTTTCATGTTTTCTTACAAATCTTAAAATTCATAGTAAAAATTTATATGTAATTAACAACTAATTCAATATTCAATTATTTTTAAATTAAAATTCCCTCATTGGTCTATTGAAAGAAATAATGTCCAAAAAAAGAGACAAACCTGTCCCCTTCCTGCTGCATCTGCCACGGTCAGGCTGTCTGCAACCCTGAGGCCGCTACGGCACAGCCTGCGGCAGCTACTGCCGAACAGCCGCGTCTGGACCTGGGTCTGGATCCCCGTCTGCATCTGAGCAGAACGAGCAGAGCCCCACGACGCGGTTCGACGGTCACGTCACCTCACTTAGCAGGGGCGCCGGGGCCCCCAGCCTCACCTTCACCATGTCTCTGTACTTCTCCTTGAGCTCCTGGTACAGCGCACTGTACCTCGAGATGGAGACAAGGGAGAGGGTGCTCCTGAACTCGCTCTTCCTGCTGGCCACGCACCACCGGGCCAATCGGCCCAGCAGCTCTGCTCCCAGCCAGGCGGGTCTGGGGTGGATAACTCCGTCCGACTGCCACTTCTCTGGACAGAAAATCAAAACAGATATGAACCTTTAAAAGTAAGAAAAATATGAGTAAGCAGGGCTGGTTTTCATTTTTAGCTTTAAATTACATGTTTATTTACCAAAAAGAAGAGAGCAGAAGCTCTTTACTATAAAATATTTGACCAGAAACCCCACAACCATCGGGGGCAGTTACAGATGCGTCCTCTACTAGAGAAGGGCACGCTGCGCACAGAGCGAAGCCCTCTCCGGAGTCTGGAAGTGTGGCTTCCTGCCCGCGGCTTTGCTCTGCTCACTTCCTCCCTGGTGGGGTCAGAGCCCCCCACGCCCGAGGCCCTGTGCACACGTGTGCTAAATGAAAGAACAGAAGCCCACAGCCCACGGAGTGTGGTGGACCCAGCCAGGTAACAGCACCCCATCGCTAGGCCTGCAGATGGGCAGCACGCTGGAGAGAGTGTCAAGCTTGTTAAGCCCTAAAAAAGGCTACAAGAAAGGAAGTGATGTTCAAGATGGGTCCCGAAGGACACCCAGGGCAAGGCTGTTGGGGAAGAGAAGCTGTGGCGGGCTGGGGACAAGGGTGAGTGGCTGGTTAATCTGACGAGAGCTGGGACTTTCTGCCAGCAGGGCAGATCAGAGGGACACCGTCCAGTCCCAGCAGAGTCACCTCCAAGGCACATCAGAGCCAGCAGGGGCTGGGGAGGTCCTGCTGCCTCCACTGCCTGCTGGGCCCCCAGAGTGGAGGTGGCTCTGTGGACAGGGCTGGCCTTCTCCTCCCCTGGCCTCACTGTCCTTTCCCCTCGACCCCAGAGGCCCACAGGCCTGCTCCCCATTTGCTCAGGCTTCCTCCTGGATGTTACCTTCTCCACATGCCTGACAGGCATCAGGCACATTGCTGCCATTGTTAGCATGGGTCCCTGGATCAGAGCCATGCCACACTCTCTGCACAAGCCCAAATACCACACAGGCTCAAGGTACTGGTTAAACCACCCTTACATAAGCACTTCTGTCCTTGTCAGTCTGCTGCCACTGTGACAGAATCAACTTCAAGGAGGAAGCTTTGTTCCGGCTCACAGCCTCAGGGGTTTAGTCCACGGTCAGCAGCTCCACTGCTTCCGGCCAAGGTAAAGCAGAAACATCATGGTGGCAGGGCATGGTGAAGGAGGCAGCCAGGAAGGGGTGGGGGAACAGCCAGGGAGGAAGGGGTTGGAGTAAAATATACCCTTCGAAGGCACAAACCTAGGTACTGGCTTCTTCCACCTGGCCCCATTTCCTAACAGCCCACTCAGCTACAAACTCACTCATGGATAATTCACTCAGGGAAGTCAGACTCAATCACTTTCCCAAAGCTCACCAGCACCCAAGCCCTCAAAACAATGAGCTGAACATACTCTGTGGGAGGCACCACCTGCTCCTCATAACCATGCTGCAGACGCGACAAAGAGCGCCAGGCCTGGACCAAGCTTGGTGCCAGAACTGCGTCCCTGCACCCGTCAAGGCCAAGTAGAATGCGGACTCAGGATGCCAGCCAGGCTGCAGCCCATACACACACGACCAGCACCAACAAGAACCAGCACAGAGACGTCAATGAAGACCCACTCCTGCTGATCAGTGGGTCAAGACCACACAGCAGAGAATCAGCTGTCCAGGTCTTACCATTCTGCTTGGCTGTGACTGAGCTGAATTTGATACACATTGCTCGTCTTAACCTCCAAATTCCCCTCATCATCTTCTTCCAGAGGTAGGAAAGTTACGGTTCCATTTGGGACATCTGGGGAAAAAAAAAGACAATGACCACAGATTGCAATGGCTTAGCTGGGTGTCTCATCAGAGCAGAATGGACAACAACAGTAAGTATATCAGGAGGCTTCCCTCCCTCAGAGACTTCCTGGGGGGAGGAGTGGGAGCTCTGTGCTTATTTACTGGTACAGCCCAACACCGAGAGAGAGGGAGGTGCGCAGCAGCTTCTCTTAGCAGCCACACATCCCCAGAGCTAAGAGAAGAGGGAGCCACATGGGCTGGAAAGAACGCGGCCTCTGCCCTAGCTGCATGTTGCCAGGTGACCTTGATCTTCTGACACAGGCACCACAGAACACTGCTCAACCACAAGAGTCTGGTTCAGGACACTATACAGGGTTCCAGGCATTCCTAACCCAGGGACCCATCTTTGCAGAGCCCTCCTCTCAGGGACTCTGCACACACCTTCTCATCAAAATGCCTGCAGAGCAACTTATTCCTAAGGCGAATTATGGCGTTATATCTGTTTGGTTGTATGAAGTTCTACCTCCAAAATCAACAGTTTACTTCCGATATAAAAAACGAGCAGTATCAAAGTTAACGATGAGCACATGCCTCCATTCACAAAGTGAGTATACACAATCTAAATCCACCTTCCACAGAAGGCAAAACCCCCCAGCAGTTTGCTACAGTAGCAATAGGAAACTCATTTGCTGCTGATAACGTTTGAGGCGGGGAGTGGCTGAAGACTCAAGGTCAGCAATGCTCAGAATAAGCGTCTGGAATTTGACAAACACTGAAAACTGGTACATTCCCAGCCATCCGACTGCCATGCTCTTTCACATCGGTCTTTCAACTGTCTCCTTTTATCATTCAACAACCACTGTATCCTTCACTTTCTCCCTGAAGCCTTCCAGATACCAGCCTTTCCAATCAGTTATCGCACCCTCTGTCCTAAGAACATACACTGTATTTCCATACACCCCTCTCAAAAAACAATCCAAAACCTACAACCCCTCTAGAAAATGACAAAAGAAGTGGCCTACTAGGTGCCTTTGGAACCTTTTCACTGACCCGAGGTTCAATGAATGCGTTTTAATCTAACTGCACCCTCCCACTATCAAATATGTTCTTACCCTGCAAGACTATTTCTCTCCTCGGAGCTGTAACCAAGCAATGCGGGCTCTTTTTCGGAATGACAGTTCTTAGGACCAGGTCGAGTTCATGCGGTGCCTCTGACTGCGATCCTGCTCCGGAGCACGTGAGGAATGACAGCATCTCCGGATGGCTGTAGACAAGACTTTGGGAAAAACGGTTCCAGAGCGAATCCAGATCTGCGGCGGGGTGGTCCTCCTCCCCGCCTCCAGGCCTAAGGGGCTGCCCAGGGTTCTCGGCAAGGAAGGGAGCCGCGGCTGCTTCCCTCTGCTCCTTCCCCTGTTGGCGCTGATCCTGGGTGTCTTCATGTCTGCGACAAGCTGTGCCTTCCTCCGGTCCTAATTCCGGCCTGGGACCGGGATACCCCTCGACAAGACCGGGGCCAGGTTCCTCCTGGGGCCCGCATAAGGCCGCGTCCCACTTCTGATCCGGGCCCGCGCTCGGCCTGGGACGGCGGGGCTCGGCCGCGGGCAGTGTAGCGCTTCGGCGGGCCTCCAGACGGGCGCCGCATAGCCGCTTATTGGCCACCTGCGGCCTCTCCAGCCACACTGCCACTGCCGCCCAGAAACCTCCAGGGAGCAGCCCGCCAGGGTCGCTCACCAACTCCCGGCCCACTTCCGCCATGGTACACCTGCGACGAGAGCTCGGACACCGGCGCAGTTGATGACGCACTTCCGGCGGTCGGTGGCGGAAGCGGAAGGAGACGCGATGTGTGGCTTTACCCGCCGAGGTATTTTCCTGTGCTCGCTTTTGCGGCCTTTGGCTGAGTTTAATCTGTATTTTCCCCGAGCCTCTAGTCAGAGTCATGGGTGCGTAATAGTAACGTGGTCACAGCAGGCTTTTGCAGGAGAATCTGGAAGCGGTATAATTATGGACTCATTCACGTCCCGCAGGATAGCTGGAACCCCAGAGATAAGAGTGGTGAGAGACTTACTACTGCAGTTAAGAGAGTTACCGGCTGCTCGGGGACCTGCGCTCACCACTCCCCAAACAAACACAAGAGGCCATTTATTTGGGGCGAAGAAAAAAGGCTTTATTTGAAGCTAGTTCCGAGAAGATGGAGGAGTTTCGTATTGTCACAGGGTCACAACCGTCTCCCTTTCCCACTCCCCTCCCTCTCCGGTGGAAGAGAGACTGGATTTTGGCTTGGTAGGGCCAGTATCTGGGCGGAGGAGCGGAGAGGGTGGCAGCTATGCCCTCGGCCTGAGGGAATGTAAGTGGCTTATCTCTAAAGGAAGAACATTCCAGCCTTTTGACGTTCCATTTTGCCCACCCGTCACAAGCGGACCTGGAATAACGAGGAAGCTCGTGGGTTGCCTTAGGGAGACAGGTATATTCATATTGGAAAACAGTCATGTACAGTAGGCACATTTCTAGCATGCTAGTTCCAGATCATACTTCTTCATACATGGAATGTTCAAAAACAGTGGCCAGAAATGCTCCCCAAGATAGAGGATTTAGCATTATAATGAGACTCTAATGGGTACAGGTCACTCTAGGTGACCCAGAAGAATGACAGGGCAATCTTGGATGTGGGTTGGTTTAAACTGGTTCAGCATGACCTTCTCTGGGGGTAGTCTTATCTGACACACAAGAACAAAAGCCAACATAAATGGACATTGGCAGTCATTTAAATGAGTGCCAGTTCCTTCAGCTGTAAGCACTGCGTGTCCCAGGAGTGCTCAGTCTCGGAGAGATTTGCACACTGCCACCTGAGCCTACGTCACCAGCCTCTGCTCTGCAGGATTGCACTGAAGTTCCAAAGGCCCCAAAGGTTCATTCTTTTTGCAACAGGAGACCCTTGGCTGGGATTTTGCCCTGCCCTAAAGACTCTGTGAACTGAGAACTAACTCAGGTCAGGCTATTTTATCAGAGTGGAGAGCACAGACCACGCTGGAAATAAATGCAGTAAAAGATGGCTGAGTGGTACAGCTTCCCGGACACCTGCTCATCCAGCCCCTTCTGTCATTAATCCACTTTTTTTTTTTAATAGTCTGTTAGATTACTAGGGCTTCTGTGACAGATTACCACAAGGCAGTCACATACTCTCATAGCTCTGAAGCTCTGAGGAAGAATCTGTCCCTTGTTCCAAACCTAGTGTCTGTGGTCATCAGGGATCCTTGGTGCCCCTTGGCTTGTGTTGGGTTTGTTCTGATCTCCACCTCCATGGTTGCGTCATGGTCTCCTCTGCTTCCTGAGTCTCCTTTACTCTTCTCATAAGGATGCCCTTCATGGGATATCAGGGCCATCACAGTCAGGATAAACTCATTTTAACTCTGAAGGGATCTGACCACTGCCATCCTGCTGGAAGCAGAGACCAGTTCAATCCCTTCCCCCTGCTATGCCTGTACACCCGCTGCAGATGTTTTGTCACAGATGGAAAAGGCCCAGCCACACCCTGTAACTCAGAATCGTTTTTCAGCCCTGCTCTTGACAAACCCACAACTCCTTATACATCCTCAGGCCCCGTCCAGAGTGGACAGCCACAACTCTTTTGTACTGAACTGTCCCCTTCAAAAGTCTCACTGTGACTTTTACCTTCCACAGCACACCCCCCTTTATGCCCATGACCCCATAAAGACCTCATAGCCTGTACAAGAACTGCTGGTCTCGTCTCTAATGCCAGAGCAGTCCCTCTCAGGTTTGTTCTGAAATAAACCTGTCCTGTTGAGCTTGTACCCCTGCTTTTCCATTTGTCCTAACACTTGGCAGCAATGTGGGGCAGAGGTCAAGGGGACTGCCCCCAAATCCCTGACCTGGTTTGTGGACATCTGCAAAGCTCTTATCTCCAAATAAGATCACAGGTGCTACATACGGTTAGGACATCATCTCTTGGCACAATTCACTTCCAACACTGTTCAAAGGTGTTTGGTCTGTGTGGGGCAATCAAGACATTAACAAGTATTATAAATCTTAACGTTGCTGGACAGGATCTGAAGAAGTTTTCCCTAAAAAGGAGGTAACCACCTCAACTTGGCCGCAGCAGGGTCTTGAGATAAGCATTTCAGGACACTAGTGAGAAGCACAGGGTGATTAGACAGAGCAAGAAAGGAGAAAATGAGGAAAGGACTTCAGCTTGAGAAGCTAAAGGGGCTCAGCTCTGATGAAGATCAGACTGGCCCCTTAACCAAGGAACGAGGCCAGCTATTAATGGATTGGCTGAGGCGAAGACTCTGCCAGAATCCAAGGTGATTGCAGGCTTAGGACAATGACTGAAGACTTCTGGGTGCCCACTGGAAGTTGAATGTCCCTGCAAATTTCTTATCTGGATATCCTCAGTCTTGAAGGGTGAATGAGACCAATTATATAAATTTAGGACTAATGAAACTTGTACTATTGCCAACTTATAGACAGACACTCCCTAATGATTAACATGCCTGTATGCAGACCTGAGCAAGGATTTGACCCAAAGTCTGTTTATGTTTTGGATTTTTGAGATGGTATCCCCATGTATCCTAGACTGGCCTCGAACATCCAGAGATGCTCCTGCTTCAGCTTCCTGAGTGCTGGGATCACTAGCATGCACCACAACACCTGGCTTCAAAGTTTTAGTAAAGAGGCCGGATACAAAAGGCAGGTCTAGCTTTGTTCTTTTAATTAGCCATTGGGCATTTGTAGGGACAAGTGGAGTTGATTTTTTTCTTTTAGCAAAAGTAGCTCTCAAGTTCTTACTGCCTCCGAAGAAAACAAAAATGTTTTTAAGTAGGAACAGGTTAAGATCTCAGGAGTTTATCCTCTGTCCCTGTGGTGGTCTCCAACTGTGTTAAGACTGGGAGACAAGTGAGTTGAAGAGAAATAACTTTTTTTTAACAAACTGTACCGCCTCCTTTGGTGCTCACCGCCCACAGCAGAGGCTGAGCAGTGGTTCAAGGCCACACTTTGCTGTCACATGGGTACACTATGAAAGGCACACACAGGAGAACCCACCGTAAATCCACCACTATGCTCTTTGTGCTGTTCTTTTGAGACAGGGTCTCACTACGTAATGAGGGTGGACTGCAACTCCCAGTGCTTATCCTGCATCAGCCTCCCAGATGCTGGGATTACAAGTGTGTACCACTGTCATAGGCAGCTGAGTTAGATAGAAATATTATAGGCAGTCAGACAGGGCCAGGCCCTCGAAGGAGCCAACATGAAAGATACGTATCTGCTGTGGGCCAGACCTCAAGACAAAGGATTAAACAAATGCTCCTACATACCTCCCTAGGGATGGACATCAGGGATTGACATTCTAAATAGGTAGCGATCACCTTGAAGAGTCATTGACTCAGTCCTTTATAGGAAAAGCCCCTGTTCTGTATTCATGCGGGCTTGCCACATGACTTGCTTCCCCATCTGATCCCAATTTAATCAATGTTACCTTGTGGTGAACACATAATTGGTAAACACATAAAGGCTAAAAGTTACTGAGCTATTGGGTGGAGGGAAAAATGTCAGTTTGACCCAAGAAAGAGAAACTGGGCTTGAGTGTTAGTTTAGTTTGAAAACAGTGTATGTGTCTAAGAAGGTTCTGAACTTTGCAACACCTGCTTGCTGGAGCCGATAGGTTCCGCTTTTCTGCCCTTGCGAAAAAGCAATTGTTCCCCTGCGCCAACCAGGATGTGGTTTCCAGGCTTAGAAGCTCAAACTTTCTTCGGTTCGGGGCTGCTCAGCATCTCCCTGTGTGGAGAACAGACTGACAGCCGCTGGCCCGGCTAATAAAGGCTCTTAAAATTCCAATTTGGATTCTGGTCTCGGTTCTGTGTTCAGGGTAACCCATTACATTTGGGGGCCCGTCCGGGATCCCATTACTGGGATTAAATAAAGAACGAAGAGTTCTTTGAGGCTATCTCTTCTCAGGGGAATCTCAGAGAGACCTTCCTCTGCCCCGAGAAGATGTTTGGTTTCAAAGACTAAATTCTTTCATTCAGAACGAGCCGTCAGGATTCTTACCGGTAAGATACATTCTGTTTATTGGGGTGCCCCTCGGGAGTCTCTTGAGGAGTTGGATGCAACATTAAGGCCTCAGAGACACAGCCCTAGTCCACCTCAGTGGCTGGTGGCATCTGGTTTTCTGGTAACTTGTCTGTTTGTGTCAGCCTTTGTTTGTGTCAGTTTAAATATGGGTCAGTCCGCTTCTGCTTCCATGTCGCCTTTGCAGTGTATTCTTAATCATTTTCAGGATTTCAGGCAATGAGCTGCTGACTATGGGGACTCTGTGTCCCCTGGCAAACTCCGGATCTTCTGTGAATTAGAGTGGCCCTCTTTTCCAGGAATTTCCTGGCCTCCGGAGACCTCTTTTAACCTCTCGCTTGTTTACCAGGTCCACAAGGTCGTCCTTGACAATCCTGGACACCCTGACCAGATTCCTTACATTCAGGCTTGGCTAGATTTGGTCCAGGATCTGCCTACGTGGGTCAAGACTTGCCAGTCCAAGCCACACTGCCGCACCAGCAACAGGGCAACCACCGTAGCTGTGGCGAGCCCCGCGGCTAAGAAGTCCTCTCAGGCACTTCCGAAAAGGCCTGTCCTCCCTCCTGACCCCGAATCCCCTGCCCTCTATCCTCGCCTAGCCCATCCACCTCCCTATCCCTCTGCTCCTATCTCCCCGGATTCTATCACCTCACCCCTTAGCCCTTCTCATACCCAAAGTGGTCATCCTTTTTCTCACCAGCCCCCCTCTCAGCCCCCTCGTCGACCCTCTCCTCTGCGCCCGCTCCCCTTCTACCCCTCCGGGAGATGAAGGAGGACTCCTCCCGCCCCTTTATGATTTATGTCCCTTTCTCTACTAGCGACCTCTACAATTGGAAAAACCAGAACCCGTCCTTTAGCCAGAATCCCCAGGGGCTTATTTCGCTTTTGGAGTCTGTTTTCTTCACTCACCAGCCGACTTGGGATGATTGTCAACAGTTGTTACAAACTCTCTTCACCTCAGAAAGAATTGGAGGTTTGGGCTGAAAACTGGTCCTGGGACCAGATGGACAGCCCACCTCAGACCCGAACTGACAAGAATATGTTTTCCCTCTGACTCGACCCGCTTGGGACCCCAGCTCAAATCAAGGTAAGGAGGCTCTCGATGGGTATCGCCAGCTTCTTTTAGGGGCTATGAGGGCAGCAGCTAGAAAGCCTACTAATTTATCTAAAGTCACTGAGGTTACTCAGGGATCTGAGGAGTCTCCTGCTGCCTTCCTCGAACGCCTCCAAGAGGCCTACCGGATCTATACTCCTATAGATCCCAAGGCTCCTGAGAACTGAAGGGCCATAAATATTGCCTTCATGTCTCAATCAGCCCCAGATATCAGAAAGAAACTCCAAAGGATGGAAGGATTTGAGGGAAAAGCATTAACAGAGTTGGTAGAAATAACACAAAAGGTATTTAACAATAGAGAAGATCCGAGAAAACTGAATAAACGTATGGCCAAGGTCCTCATAGCAATGGGAGAAAAAGATGGACTGACAACTATAAAGGCCCTGAGCCCCCAGACTAAACAGAAGAGGTCAGCCCTCAGTAAAAATCAGTGTGCCTATTGCAAGGAGGAAGGACACTGGAAAAATGAATGCCCGAAGCAAAAACAAAAGGAAAGTAAGAGCTGAGTTCTGACAGCCACTCCTGAAACGGACTGAGGGAGTCAGGGCTCTTCTCTCGGCCCTGGGGAGCCCGGAGTAACTCTACAAGTAGGGGGCCAGCTGGTCGATTTTCTAGTGGACACAGGGGCCACCTATTCGGGTTTACAGCAACCTGTGGGCCCCCTGTCAGAAACAAAGACCCACATCCAAGGGGCCACGGGGAATACTAAATTGTACCCTTGCACCAAAACTAGAATTGGAAATCTGGGGACTAAACAGATGACTCATTCCTTTCTTGTCATGCCTGAATGCCCCTACCCTTTGATCGGCTGGGACTTGCTTCATAAGTTACAGGCTCAGATTTCCTTTGGGGAGGACTCTACCCAAATAACCTTTGCTGCTAAACCTGAATTTGACCCCCGGCCCCCAATGATTCTTTGCATGTGTCCCCTGACAGAGGAACATTTATTGCTAACTGAGGAGGAACCCCAACCTAGTTCTGATGTCCTGCTTTCAGCCTGGAAGACAGAGATTCCTGGGGTCTGGGCAAAAAACAACCCCCCTGGGTTGACAATTCATCAACCCCCCATTGTGGTATCTCTAGTACCAGGGGCAACTCCTATGTCCGTCAGTAACCATTAAGCTTACAGGCATGACTGGGGATCAGTGTTCACATCCAAAGACTCAAAAAGGAGGGCATACTGGTGCCTTGCAAGTCAGCATGGGACACTCCACTGCTGCCAGTATGGGAGCAGCTATGTCCAGGATGGAGTCAGGTATGCGGGGGCGGCTGTGGTCACTGAAAAGGAAGTGATCTGGGCACAAGCCTTGGGTCATGGAACCTCAGCCCAGCGGGCTGAACTGATAGTGCTGACCCAAGTCCTGAGATGGGGGAAAAATAGAAGACTAAACATCTACACTGATAGTAGATATGCCTTTGCCACCCTTCATGTACATGGGGCCATATATCAAGAAAGGGGACTCCTAACCATGGGAGGACAAAAGATTAAAAACACTCCAGAAATTTTAGACTTATTGGCTGCAGTCTTGTTGCCTCGACAAGTAGCGGTTATACACTGTCGAGGACACCAAAAGGATGACTCCCCGGTGGCCTGAGGAAATACCCTGGTGGATTCTACAGCCCGAGAAGTGGCAAGAAAACCAGTGGGGCCACTAGAGATCCTGCCTGTTCTGCCACCCTGGATTCTAGACAAACCATTTTATTCAGATTCAGACCTCCAGTTGGCACAAAGTCTTCGGTCCTCCCCAGCTTCTACCGGTTGGCAAAAATTGCCAGACTCCCGGATCCTCCTCCCTGAGGCACTTGGCCATGAACTGGTATATTTACTTCACCACAGTACTCACTTGGGAGGAAATAAATGGTCTGAACTGTTGAGAAAATCATATTTCATTCCAAAACTAAACCAACTGGCCAAGGACGTAAGTCACAGGTGCCACAGTACGCTCAGGTAAATCCAAAAAGAAGTCTACCACAGATCCACCATTGAGCCAGAGGTACATCACCTGGGGAACATTGGGAAGTAGATTTCACGGAGATGAAATCTGGACCAAACAGACTCAGGTATCTGCTAGTACTGGTGGACACTTTCACAAGATGGCCAGAAGCCTTCACCACACGTTCTGAGTCTGCCTTGATAGTTGTTAAAAAACTCCTACCTGAGATAGTCCCGCGATTTGGTCTTCCCTTAGCTCTGGGGTCTGATAACGGTCTCGTTTTTATAGCCCAGATTACAAAACTTGTTTCACAGGCTTTACACATTAATTGGAAGTTACACTGTGCCTATTGGCCACAAAGTTCTGGCCAGGTAGAAGGGATGAACTGAACTTTAAAGGAGGCTATTGCCAAGATAGGGTTAGAAGCTGGCGAAAACTGGGTGAGTCTCCTTCCTTTTGCCCTCTTGAGGGCCCTTTGTACTCCCTATGTTCAAGGGATCACACCCTTTGAGGCAATGTACGGTCGAGCCCCACCTCTTTTCCCGAAGCTCAGGGAAGAAATGCTCATGTCAATCTTTAACCAAGAGCTTGTTAAGTCCTTACAGGCACTTCAGTCTTCACTGCAGGCAACTCATTCTCTCTTCCGACACCTGAGACCAGAGCCAGAAGAACAGAGCAGCCTAAGCCAATTGAGGAAGCGCCTACAGGATAGAGATGATCAAAAACAGATCCCAGTCTAATTGGTATACGGGATTGTTCTCTATGTCCCCATGGTTGACCACCCTACTGACCGCCTTGGCTGGGCCCTTGATCCTCTTACTGTTAACCCTAACTGTAGAACCCTGCGTCATCAACTGTCTAGTTTGTTATGTACAGGACCGAGTGCAAGCTGTCAAACTAATGGTATTGTGTTCCCAATATAATATGTGAGCTGAGATATAGGAAGAAACTGAGGAAACAACGATTTGGTTCCCCCAGAAAACCAGTGGGGAATGTGGTGAACACATAATTGGTAAACACATAAAGGCTAAAAATTACTGAGCTATTGGGTGGAGGAAAAAATGTCAGTTTGACCCAAGAAACAGAAACTGGGCTTGATTGTTAGTTTAGTTTGAAAACAGTGTATGTGTCTAAGAAGGTTCTGAACTTTGCAACACCTGCTTGCTGGAGCCGATAGGTTCTGCTTTTCTGCCCTTGCGAAAAAGCAATTGTTCCCCTGCACCAACCAGGATGTGGTTTCAGGCTTAGAAGCTCAAACTTTCTTCGGTTTGGGGCTGCTCAGCATCTCCCTGTGTGGAGAACAGACTGACAGCCGCTGGCCCGGCTAATAAAGGCTCTTAAAATTCCAATTTGGATTCTGGTCTCGGTTCTGTGTTCAGGGTAACCCATTACAACCTGAATAATTCTTATTGGCTGACCATAGTTTTGTCCATTTTTCCCTTACCTTGGACCTGCCTCCCCTCATGGTTTTGCTCTATAAATTCCCTTAAAAGACAGAGTCTTGGGTAACCCACTCAGGCCCCGCTTCTGTCCCTCTCTTGGGCAGAAGCTTTCTTTTCTTTCCCTCAATAAATATATGCTGCTCTTAACCTCCATTGTTCCTAAAATTCATTCTTCAGTTTTAGAGAACACAGACTCATCCCAGATATCATTCAGGTTGGGAGTTTTTATTTTCCTGTGTCACCACCACACCCAAGCCTTATTATTCATAAGTACAAAAACCTGGGACCCAGTCTAGGTAACCTGTGGCAGAGGTTCATAAAGACCTGTGTGACTGTTAGAGCACCTACCGTTTCTTACCCAGGACAGCTGCTTATAGATTATGAGCAGGTTGTGGAGTGTCACAGGCTATTTGCATGTGTAGCACCAGACAAGGTCATATTTGGCACAGAAGCTAGGAAAGGAGTTGACATACACTTGTGAAGCCCAGCACTACTGGGGGCGGAGGCAGGAAAACCGAAAGTTCAAGCCCAGCCTGGGCAACGTAGCAAAACACGGCCCCAAAAAGTAAAAAAGGCTGGGGATGCAGCTCAGTGCAAAGGCTCTTGGTTTACTCCCCAGCTAGTGGGAAGGAACACTAGGAAAAAATATGTGAAACTAGTGACAATGATCATCTCTTGGAGACCTAAGAGTTGGGCCAATTTTAGACCCTTATCTACTTACAAACCATTTAATAGGGCCAAGAACCCAAGACCTGTGTTATGGTTGATACATCGTGTGAACTTGAGGAGTCTGGAGGCTTGGCTAAGTGACTCGGCAGCTCTACATCCTGGGTTGAAGAGGACATGCCTTTCCTGCTCTAGGATGTTTTTTGGTATTCATCCTGAGCCTGTGCAGGAGGAGGACATAGATGGTGTGGGCGTGGGCAGATGGCCTGCATACAACATAAGGGAGGAAGAGAGGCTTGCTTCCCCCCTTTTTGTTTTCGCTGCATTTGCTGTCTTGTACTGCCTTGAACTGTTGCCCCTCTGCCCTGCCACCCTGCCTTGGAGCCAGCTGATTATGGAGTAAAACCTCCACAAACTGTAAGCTAAATAAACCTTCTCTTCTTTAATTTTGGGCATTGGGTATTTTGTCTCAGCAACAAAAAAAGTACCTAAGACAGCCGAGACTCCAGTCCTGCTCCGCTCTGCATTTCTATGCCTGTTATGTATGAATATCTTTATTTAGCAGAAAGAGGAACAAAGAAGGCACGAACAGAATTCATGACAATGAACAAAGCAGTGACAACTCTCTGTCCCATCACTGGCTGAGATGCCCAGTGTGTGTCCCATTGCCCTCTCACCCCTTTCACCCACGAAGCAATGGCCAGGTACTGTGCTCTTCTCCGACAGCGTCCCAGGCCATGAGCCAGACCCAGAGGTGTTCTGAGAAGAGCAAGAGAAATAACTTTCTAAAGAAGGTTTCCAAGGGTGTCCTGACTTCAGGAGACCTGACTGTACAAGTAGGAAAAGGGCGAAACAAAGTAGTGTGCAAGGGTACAGCCGTTCTTGGGACAAACTCAGTCATTCTGCTGTCTGCAAAGGTCGCCCCCTCTCTGCATGTATTTGTTGGTATTCACCTCCATGGAAGGCAAGGTTTTCACTAAGACCTGGGGCTCACCAGCCAGGCTTCACTGATTTGGGCACTGGGGGTGGGTTGGGCATTCTTGCTCATTTCAGTTGACCTCAGGATGCAAAGGGCTTTTGCTTCCGCATTCAGCTGGGTGTGTAATGTCCACTATCACAGCCGCGTGAGGCAGGTGTGCACCATGACTTCCCCACACACAAGCAGATGCTGCTTCAGGTAGATGTGGGCTCGAGTCCTCCAAAGCCTCCAGTTTTCTGGGTTCTGGGATCGCATGCCGTGGATCCTTCCTGGCCCAAGGCTTCACTGTGTCCTGGAAGTGACTAAGTTACCCGCTGCTTCTCTGCTGCATGTCTCATGGGCATAGGAGAGGAGTGGGAGAGGGAGACAGAAAGGGAGACAGACAGAGGAAGGGGGGACCCCAATCCCAAACAGTCATGCAGGATCAGGGCTTTGGAGTGCAGAGTCATAAATGCCGGAGCCCATGTTTGGGGAAAAGCGGAAGCGTCCAGTTTGGTGTGGGCTTTTTTTGTTGTGGCCGTTGTTTGGAGACAGGTTCTTGCTATCTCGCTCAGGCTGGCCCCAAACTCACAGCGAGGCCTGAAATTACAGGCATGTGACCCCACACCCGGGTATGGGCTTATGCACTTGCACAGAGACACGTCGGTTCCCTGTGGGAAACCCCCAGCTGAACTGAGTCCACTCGGCCTGCCTACCGCTCCCACCTCCAGCACCCCTCGGGGCCCGGCTCCCGCCTGCCTTTGCACCCTATTTCCCAACCATCTTGCCCCGCCTGCAAATGGTCTTTCTGCTCCTCGGATGCCAAGCTCACTGCCCCTGAGGCTGCCTTCTGAGTGTTGCTTCTCTGCAATGTACACTCTGGGGTCTTCACTCAGGAGGCAGCAGAAATGTCCCTTCTTCAGGCAGGGCTTCCCTGCCACAGACCAGACTGCCCCAAGGCCGTCCATGTATTGCTGCCATGTTTTCTCCGAATTACCATGTTTGAAGTCTCTGGTTCCGTTCCATTAGGTTGGGGAAGCAGACTAGTATATCACCACCCCCACCATATTCTTTGGTATCCAGGAAATGTGTAAAATCACTGGATGCAAACGTGGGCAAGATCAGGGAGTGTGGCAGGAGGGTTGTGGGGAGAGCAGAGGGCCCAGGAATCTCTCTCTGTGGAGAGAAGTAGCCTCCAGCCAGAGGCTGCCGGGCTGGGGAGGAAGCCACCAAGATCCAGGCTTAGTCCATGGTTCCGATGCTCTCCCCGGAACAGTCTTGCAGAGTGCAGAAAACTTTCCCTCTCCCCTCTGAGGTTTCGTCCAGTCTAGGAAGTGAATGGACACTCTGCTGATGAACAGGAGAAGATCCACATTTAATTACAGATGTTCACGCAGTCGGAGAAGGTTCAAAAGATGAAAGATTATGTAGTGTGCAGCGCTATGGCAAAGAAGAGAGGTTTGGGGCAGGCTGGGGCACAGCAAGTGACGGGAGGGTGGCGTCATGACCAGCCTGTCTTCTTTGCACTGAGAAAGTCTCAGGAGGCCAGTGTTGAATGGAGCCATCTCACCTGACACAGGTGCTTCATGAATGGGAAGTTTCCTTTGCAGATACCACTTTCTTTTACGGAGACATCTCTGCAGAGCTGCTTCTACATGCTCTGAGAGAAACCAGCTCAAAGTATGCCACGCATGCATGCCTCGGAGCCACACATTCTGGTCTCCTGCAGGCAGCTTTTGGGGTCTGTGGATAGCACCGTTCTGTAGGACTTGCTGGCAGGCTGGAACTGTTCCGTCTGCATGGTCTAAGAAGATGCTTGTGGTTACCAAGTATTTGCAGTGTAGCCAGTGCAGCTGGAAGCTGATCAGTGTACAGGGAATTTCATCTATTTAACAAAAGCACATTCGAATTCAAGCAGGCACTTGAGACCAGCACTGGCTCTGGTGTTAGACTGAGCTGGGGAGAGACTCTGCCAGAGTTCCCCGAGCCCCTCCACACTGGGTTCTCAGCATCTAAGTGCTGGAGGCTCTGGGTGGGGCTGAGCCTCCACCTGGGAGCCTTCTGTGCCCTGTGAGTCCTAAATACCAGCCTGTCACACTGATCTGAACTCGGGCCTTCAGCCCACAGCAGCTGCAGCCAGAACTCTCACCCAACAATGAGGCTCCTTTAGCCTGTGAATCAACATGAAATCACTCATGTCTGAGCCCAACAGTGTGGACTCTGGAGGTCATGGAGGGCACACTCAGGCAGCAGTACCTGGAGGAGGCCTCCTTGCAAGATATTCCCACAGGCTGGGCATGATGGCGCACTCCTGTAATCCCACTGCTCGGGAGGCTGAGGCAGGAGGATCGTTGTGAGTTTGAGACCAGTCTGGACTACAAAATGAGCTCAAGGCCAGCCTGAACTGCATAGTGAGACCCAGTCTCAAAAAGACCAAAGGGAAAAAAAAAAGATATTCCCACAGGAACAGCCTGTGCTGACAGGGCTATCACAAGGCACTTACTCAAAACTTCATGTTCCAGCTAAGCAGTTTGTACAAAAAACTCCGTCTTCACCAGGGAGCTAAAGGCAAACCCAGCAGGGAATACCAGGTACTGAACAATTTTCTGACCAAACAGCTTATGAGGCTTTCTCTTTCTGCTTACAAATCTCCCTTTGGCTCCAGGCTCCCTTTGGCCCATATCACAGAACCTGTATCTCAACTGAAGTCTCCTGCTAGTCCCAGATAAGCCCACGTGCCTGCCTGTCCAGGTTTCTTTTCAGGCTGACAAACCCTTTGGGTTGAATGCGCCAACTTTGGAGTGAAGAAATCTTTTCCCATTGATTTACAGCATGATCTTCACCTTGAAGACCAAAGGTTCAGTCTTTTGGATGTGCATCTCGTACAGAACCACATTTGTTATTCCATGGCTCCTATCCAGTGCCATTCCCCGCTGCACAGCCCTGGATATGTCACTAGGGGAAGGAGGTGGCACCGTGTGGTGGTGGCCGTGGCACAATTCTCACAGAGCCGTGCTTGGTGCTGAATCTCCACAGCCCATTCCTGGGCCAGTGATTGGTGACTCTGTTCTCTTGTGAGTCCTGAGCCAGTGACAGAGGCGGAGGTAAGGGGAGAGAATTAGGAAGGGACAGAGGGGGACAAATGGCCAGAGCATGGGAGGAAACTTGGTTTTAACAGTGTGTTCAGAGGCTGCAGTTACCAGGGATGGCCAAGGGGGCTGAGGGCTGACACCCAGCAGGGAACTGGTGAACCAGCAGGGTGGTGCGATGAATGGGGACAGGTGTCTAAGGGGGGGGTCTGCTGGCAAGGCTGCACTGGAGGACAGCCATCTCGCTGTCCACTGAGTCACCCAAAGAGCTGCTCTACCTCAGCTCCTGGCAGTTCTACCAGGAAGTAGCCAACAATATCGGACAAAACCAAACTCTTTCTTGTCCTGGAAAGTGAGACCCTTTTGGCTGATCTCAGTGTCATCTCCATGTTGGTCCCAGCAACACAGCCAGAGTAAGTAAGAAGGGGCTGGGGATATAGCTCAGTGGTATAGTGCCCGCCTGGCAAGCGCAAGGTCCTGAGTTCAATTCCCCGCACCAGCCCCCCCAACCCCCAAAAAAAACCACAGTAAATGAGACAGCTTTCCATGTGTCTGCCACACTGCTGTCCTGTAGGCCTCCAGCTCCACCTGATTTATCTGGATGTGCTCAGTGCTGTTGCCTATCAGACAGGCTAAACACTGTCTTAGGGCCCAAGGGACAATAGGTTGGGGTGTAGAGGTCCAGGACAGACAGGTAAATGCCAGAAAGTGGTTCTAAAGTCAGGCCGCAAGCCAGGCATGGTGGCGGACACTTGTAATACTAGCACTTTGGAGCCTGAGGCAGGAGGATTGCCATGAGTTCAAGGCCAGCCTGGACTATCTAGTGAATCCAAGGCGTTCCTGAACACACAGTGAGCCCTGTCTCAAAAAAAGGTAATGAAGTCAAGCCAGGGTCAGAGCTGGGAACAACTGCCTTAAACCCAGCCACGAGGAAAGTCAGTGAAGTGATAGAAAGGGGCTGAAGTGGATCACAGCCTGACCTGAGGTGTGGAGGAAGAGGTAGAGATAGACACAGACTGTGTGTGTGTGTGTGTGTGTGTGTGTGTGTGTGTGTGTGTGTGTGTGAACCTGTGGCATTCCCAAGCCTGGGGACAAGTTCTTGTACTCTTTTTTTTTTTTTTCCGGTACCAGGAATTGAACTCACGACCTTGCGCTTGCCAGGCAGGCGCTATGCCGTTGAGCTAAATCCCCAGCCCCTCTTCTACTCTTGTTCTTGTACTCTTTTTATCTAAGTAGGCTTCGTGATGGCATCCTGTCCCAAAGAGAACCAGTAACAAAGTTCACTCACCTTGCTTCCCATCCTCCCATTCCAGTGCCACAGCAGCATACCAGTCCTCCTGTTTCTCTCCAGTGGCTACAAGGCCGTCTCTGGCTTGCCCTCCCGGGTCTGCTTAGAAAGTGTCCTGTCTCCCCCTCTCCTGCGGTGGACTGGAATGATTTCCTGAAAGCTGTGAAATACTGATGTTAAACCTGGACAAACCAGAGTCTGGAGGCCACAGGGGGTGGTTCTCATGTGTTTTGGTAACAAGAACTATCACAAAAGACTCAGCAAAAAATTGTAACCTTGCACAAAAACACCCAAGGATAACTATATTCATAACTGCTCTCAGCCTCAGAGGGCATTTCCTTTATTTATCCTGGCAATCAAGGACAAGCATTTCCTTTTTTTTGTCTTTTTTGTCTTTTTGAGATGGTTTCGCTATGCAGTTCAGGCTGACCTTGAGCTCACCTTGTAGCCCAGGCTGGTCTTGAACTCGCAACCATCCTCCTGCCTCAGCTTCGTGAGTGCTGGGATTACAGGCATGTCCACCATGCCCGACTAAGCACTTCCAAACACCTGACGTGATCTTTCTTGTTTTCTGTTTAAATACCCTTGTCCACCATGGCCCACCACAGCATTCGGATCAGGGATCACGGTCTCCTGTCATTTCCAAATAAAATCTTTGTTTTGGAGAGCTGCTCTCTCTGCCACTCATTTTAGGCGCAGGTTTCCAGGTGGAATGATGTTTTCCTAATGTCAAGAAAACGTGGACCAACTTGACAGCATTCATGGCTTGGGCAGAGGTTGTACCTAGAGGAGGTGGCTGTTCTGTAGTGAATGCGTATTTTGTTGCTCTCACAGTACCCCTAATGTGAGCAACAGTAGCATGTATTTGGTCCTCCAGCCACCCTGGGCGCTCTTACCTACTCTGGGACCCCTTGCAGCCACACCACAGCCCCCGCTGGAAATGCTGCCCAGACTGTTGCGTGCGACCAGTTAGTAGGGCCCTGGGTTGCCCTCGGTTCCCTCCCTTCTGCTTCTCAGTGGGCAAGTCCCACTGGCACTTGGTGATTGCTGGGAAGGACCTGCTCTCATGGAATGAAGAAGGCGTTGTGGAGCAGGAGGCAGCATTTCCACACAGCGGCTGACACGGCCATCCACACGTGCTGCCCACATCTTCCGCTCGACACATCTCCGCACCTGAACTTACGTTCTCCTCCCCATAGCTGTGCTACTCATCTTCCAGTTCCCATTAGATGGGGTGTTCTGAGGATGACTTCTGTGGGGTGGAGATTTTTGGATGTGGGAAGTTGCCAAGCCCAGTTGGTTCCTTCTGTAAATTCCAGGCGCTGTGTACAACTTAGCTTGGACCCGCACCCCCACACTCCATATAGGCCTTGAGAGCCCAGTGCAGGCAGTCAAATGCGGCGCGGATCCCCAGACCCAGGACTGAGGCCTGTGAGACAGAAACAAAGACTAGCCAGTAGCGCCTGGATGTCGAGTTGGTCACTGCTGTGGGGCCAGGGAAGATCATGTCTACTCACCCTCTGGGGACCCGTACAGGTCCGTGGTTTCCAAACAGCAGTGAGCACTTAGACGTGCTTGCCGACTCGAAAACGCCCATTGGTCAGCTCTGGAGTGGGCCCAGGAATCTGCAAATCAAATAACTATCCTAGAGATTCCTGTGCAGGGAAGTCCCCTGAAGGACTTCCTTCCGATTGATGAGGAGAAACTGTAGCGTAAGATCAACCATTGCACGCAGAGGGTCACCCGCAGAGAGATAACTACACCACTTACCCTCTAAGTCCAAGATCAGACCAGACCTGCGTTTCCTGGGAGATGAGGGACGCCGTCAGAAAGCCACGCCCCCTTCGGGGCGGGAGAGGACGGAGGCGGAGCGACGTGATGGCGTCGGGCGTCTGACCACGCCCCCGGGTGGCCTGAGGGGCGGGGCCACACATTGGACTGGGTCTGGTCTTGAGTCGCTGCATCTGCAGAGGAGTGCCTACCCCGCGATCCCGGGGACCGAGCCTGGGAACTGAGCCTGGGAACCGAGCCTGAGTGAGGTCCCACGCGAGGGGACTCAGGTGCAGAGATCCGTGCGCGGGCCAGACGCGGGAAGGAGGCCCTGCAGGGCGTGGGAGCAGCCTGGACTCCGTCCCCGAGGTCACCCGGCAGCTGCTGCCTACGGCGACTGGCAGGGGACAATCGTCTCTCCGCCGCGGAGAGGTCTCCAGACAGATTTGAAGTGTAGTTGCAGGTCCGGGCGGGGGGAGTACAGCGGGACTTTAAGGTGGGAAGGCGGGCACAACTTAGAGAAGAAGCCGATTGGTGAAGGTCAGGTGATGTCAGGTTGCTCTTTTGCAAAGAGTAAAGCAAAGCAAGAAACCAGGTAGACTGGGACCTCCAGTTTGCAGGAAAAGTGGGCTGGCGGGCACCTTGCGGCTCCTTTCCCGTTTCAGTTTCACCACGAAGCACTTAGAGAGAGTGACTCCATTTTGGTCTGGTCTGGGACCCCAGGCAGGAGCTCGGACCCCAACCATAGCCTCTCATAGTTTTACCAGAGGGTGAGACTAGCAGCAGCTTTCACAGAGTAATGATTCTAAACCATCGCTTCCGCCAGGAACTGTCCAAGAGCCTGCTGTAAGTAGTCTGAGGCACAGTGTGTACAAGACCGCTTTGCCTGGTTACCCGAGGACAGGCTTGGTAAGGTCACCCAGCTGGAGTTGTAATGTAATGGGATTTAAGCCAAGACAGTCTGGCGTTTTGGTCTTGTTCGAAACCACTGTGCCATGATGCAGGACTGTTGGTTTCCTCGGGTGACATGGGTACCATAGGGAGCTGTGCCCGGTACCTGTGGCAGGATCTTGGGCAGGTGACTCCACCCCAAGCAGCTTGAGCGTCTCACCTGGAAAAAGAACATCGGTAATCCTTGGGCTGCTCAGGTGCCAGGTTGAGGTTCCCTCACTCCTCCACCCAATTGCCCACAGGCAGTAGTTCCTCAGCAACTGGGGGGCACCACAGTAGGCTTAAAGGGGAAGAGAGAAATGCAAGGTTCATAGGCCTTAAGGGGACACAGTGGGGGGGGGCTGATGGTTCATTTGGTTATGGGCCTAAGGGCGAGGGGGGTTCCGGGATGACAGGTGTATATGCTGAATATACTCTTGGGCCCCGTGCAGTGCAGAGCTGGGCCTGCGGGAGGAAGGCTGGGTGGGGAGGAGATGAGCTCTGCTCCATGGGTCGTGGGGTCCCTCTGTACTGCTTTCTGTTCCCTTAAGATCAGGCCTACTGTCCCCTCTTTGATTTCTGATTCGGAATCTGAGTTTTTCTCTTTCTCATGGGGTTAGTATGGGTAAAAGTTTGTCAGTCTTGTCAGAGAACCAGCTTTTATATCCGCTGGGTTTTCTCTGCTGTTCTCTTTTCTATCCCATTGGGTCGGGCCAGGGATATAGCTCAGTGTCATAAGTGCCCGCCTGGCAAGTGCAAGGTCCTGAGTTCCATTCCTGGTACCAAAAAAAAATCCTATTCCATTGGGTCTGGGTCTCATCTTCTACTGCGTTCTTCCTTCCACTTGCTTTCTGCTTAGCTTGTGCTGCCCTTCCCATGTCCTGAGTTGCTCCAGAAGCTGTCTTGGGCTGATTTCTCTTGGGCTCCAGGCCCTTCTGTGCCCCTTCACAGCTGGAAATTGGGGACTCCTCTGAACCTCTGTTGCTCTGTGTCATAGAGACCACAATACTTGGCTCACAGTGACTGGGAGGGCCACACAGGCCGGGTCCCTGGCACTCGGACAGCCACACTCCCTCTTGTCCCTCTCGTCTCAGAAGCTTCACTGTGACTGTCACAAGCAGGGTCCATCCCTAGACTTATTTCAGCGGTCGTGTGGAAGGAATTGAGTTACTCTGCGCCTCCAGGCCTGAACCTAGCTCTCCTGGCTTCCTGTAGGCCTAGATCCATAGCTGCTGCCCTCAGGGCTGTGATTAGCTAAGGCTATTGGAGAAGGGTCCGAGCCATGCAGAAAATTCCAGAACCTTTCTCTGGTCTAGATGTCTACATGTTGAGTAGAGACCAGGACAGAAGCCTGTGGTCGAAGGTTCTGAGGCAGATGGCCTGTGTCCTTGTGGGTGGGGACATCATGTACTTCTGTGCTTAGCTGTAGGAGGCTCCAGTGGGGAAGGTCCCCGGGCCATGGGCTCTGAGCTCCATGGGGAGCTTCCTGGTTCACTTGGGGTCAGAGTGTCCTTGGGTAAGGCTGTGTCAACGGGAGATAAAGCCCCAGTGCACTCTGGACCTGGACGCTGTCCTCACCCGGGGTTTGGGTTTTGCTGCTGACCTGCAGGCTCAGGCCCCAGGGCTGTTCTCACTCTCCCTTGCACCCCTGCCATCCTCTGCCAGCTAGAGTGGAAACAAGGCCAGGTCACCTCACTTTTTCCTTTGGAATCCAGCACCCAGCACAGGTTGTCTGGCTGTCTTCAGGGCTCAGGCTTGCTTTTCTGTGGGTGCGGGTGCAACATAAAGCTAGGTGTGTGTGTGAGGGGGGTGATGTGGGACACATTGCTCAGGTGTGTTCTCTGTGCAGGATGGCGCCCACACCGGGAAGAAGTGATGATGTCCTGTGGTCAGATCCCCCCCAGGGACCCCTTGATGCCTACCGAGTGCGAGCATCCTTCAGCCCCAGGGAGCTGCAGCTCTTCTGGGAGGGCGAGGACACGATCCGCTTCAAGGTGAGGCCTAGGGACTGCAGCACCTGTGATGGGGGAACTTCAGTTTGTGGGCAGAAATGGGGTTACATCCCTGGAGCTATGTGACTTCCCTGGCCTTCTCTGCTTGGTGAGATGAGGCTTGTCCCAGAACACCATGGGAGCCCAAAGTGCCAAGAAGACAGGAATGTCAGACTATGTCCCAGGCCGCGTGTGGCCTTGAGGGGGACATTCCATCCTGCCCTCCGACTAGCTGTCCTGTCTCCTGCATTTTCAGAAGGCCGTCTTCTCGACTTTGGAGAAGGACCCGCTCTTTGCTGGCTCCCGTGGGGCGGATCTGTCCCTGGAGAAGTACCGTGAGCTGAGCTTCCTCCGGTGCAAGCGGGTCTTTGAGTATGGCTTCTTCGGCTTGGACAACCTGAACCAGAGCCAGGCCCTGATGTACTGCCTGGGTGCATATGACTGGTCGGTGACCGTCAAGTTATCCCTCCACCTGATGGTGAGTCCGCATTCACAGGGGCCATGCGGAGTCACGCTTGTACAGGGCAGCTGCTGTTTGCTGAAGTCAAGTCAGCATTTACTAAGAAGTCCAGCCTTTCCGGCCACATGTGTGCATTCACACACCGAAGTTCTTGAATACAGTACAGTGCTGTGAAATTGAAGGTCCTGCAGGAGGAGGTGCCTTGGGCCTTTTTCCTTTTGCGTGTATATAAATGTGGTGTGATCCAAATAGGGGAATATTTAAATTTTAAAAATTTCTACTGTAGGAGACACGTTGCCGTTAATCACCCTCAAAACATTCTCCTGTGCTTCAAACACACGCCTCCCGTCATTCTTGCCACCTTCTGCAGCAGCTCTGGAGTCCTCTTTCCGGAGTGTCTTTAGCTGTGCCGTTGTGGCTGCCTCCCTGTCCTGAATGGAGGAACAGCCGGAAGTCACGCGGCGCCAGATCCGGTGACGAAGGTGATGAGGATGCAGTGTCATGTCTTTACGAGCCGCCTTTCGGTTGGATGGGTAAAGACACTCAGGAAAGAGGACTCCAGAGCTGCTGCAGAAAGGGCTGAGAAGAGTGGGATGCATGTGTTTGAAGCGAGGGGGAGGACTCTGAGGGGATTCATGGAATGTATCTTTTACAATAATAACTTTTAAAAAATTAAACATACCACATTCTTCGATCAGCCCGTACAGTACTGTGCGTTATATCTTTGGCTGTGTGACGACCGATGGGGAAGGGAGAGTAGAGCCAAGGAAGGAAGTGGTTTCCTTCCTTCCCTTCGTCCTCCTGGAGACAGCCGGGCCGTGCTGTGGCCCTCACCCGCACATGTCTTGTGTGGCGTGGTGGCTGTCTCCCCTCTCCACCCCGCCTCCTGTCATCGGCCACCCTCGGGCCCTGGGGCTGTCTCTCAGGTGTCTTCAGGTGGAGGTGACACTGTGTAGCTGGTGGCAACTGCCTGGCCCGGGGCCAGGTCTTACCCTGCCGGGAGCCCTGGGTGGATGAGCCTCGTGAGCCTGGGCCTTGGGCTTACTTCCTCCTCCCCGGGGCAGTGTGGCAGAGTGGGGGCATGTGGTGGGGGACATGTGGTGGGGGCTGAGGTGTGAGTCAGCTGTGCAGCTCAGAGCAGTGGCGCCCTTCACGCCCACCCGTGTACCTGACAGTGCTGTGTTTTCAGGTTTTTGGATCGGTTCTTCAGAGCCTCGGCTCTGAACGGCATCACAAGTATATTGAAAAGGTCTGGAACATGGAGGTAGGTCCTGGCCTGGTAAGCAGAGGGCTCAATCCTCTTCCCTGTCTGCCCGGGTATGTGGGAAGGCTGGTGGCAGGAGAGGGTCACTGGGAGCCTGCGCTGTCAGCCAGTGCCGTCAGACCTTGGGCAGGCACACTGCCTCTTGGGTCTGGGACAGGTTGTGTAAACCCAGCCCTATTTCTCCCTCCTCCTGGTCAGTCCTTGCCATCCACAGCCTAGAGAGGGCGCTGTGCCCTGGGCTACCTGCTGCCTCATGGGCAAAGGTGGCATCTGGCATTTCAGGTGACACAGGGAAGCCAGCGTCTGGTTAAGTGGGGCGGGAGGCTGGGGTGCAGGATGCCATGTGGCCCTCCAGGGAAGACGGTGGCGGGTCCCTGCGGGAGCCTCCCAGGGGCCTCTCGCTGCTCATGGCTTCGTGCTTCCATGTCTAGATCTTCGGCTGTTTTGCTCTGACTGAATTGAGTCACGGGAGCAACATCCAGGCCATCCGAACGACTGCACACTATGACCCCGCCACGGAGGTAGGTGTCACCTTCCGCAGGGTGGGGCCTGGGAGGGAGCAGATGCGATGCTGCAGGGGACAGTTAGGAACACAGAGGCCCAAATGCACAAGTGTTGCTTGTAAGAGATGCTCTGGAGCTGGGCGTGGTGGCACGGGGTGATCCCAGCAGGGAGGCGAAGGCAGGAGGCTCACCACAAGTTTGAGGCCAGATAGGTCCACATAGTGAGTTCAAGGCCAGGCTGGACTACATAGTGAAACCCTATCTCAAGGAAACCGAAAAAAAAGCTCTGAGATCATGTGTCATGCTGGGGTGTGGGAGGAGCGCTTGCCTCTGTGAATTTTGTGTGTGAGGGGAGCATGGGATGGGCACACGAAGTGTAGCCTTGCCAGAGCAGGGACAAGGGCCCCCCGTGCGGGGACACCAGCTGCTGTGGGGACCCAGGCCTGGTCAGAGCTGGCTGAGGGGAGCTGCCCCATGCAGGCCCCCATGGCTGCTGCTCAATTCCTGAGCCTCGGGATTCTGTCTGAATCCTGTTTCCTCGCTCCGTGGCTCCCTCCCCTCCCCATGGTGCCCATGACCCCTACGGTGCCCAGGTGGAGGGCCAGACTGACGGGGTCCAGGGGACGGTGCCCCGTGCTGCCCTTTCACCAGCCTCCTCCCGATACCCGGTGCCTAGGTGGAGATCAGAGGGACAGCAGGTGGGTCCACTCAGGGCCGCTGATCACGGGACAGAAGGCACCTGCTGGGTCCCTGCTCTGAAGGTGGCCTTGAGCCCAGGTAGCGAGTGGGAGTCCAGTGTCTGGCCGTGACTCTGCTGCCGTGGTGGGAATAGCACAGCACAGGTCTGCTATGTAAAGCACACAGCGGGAAGGAAAAAGAAAAAGTGTTCAGCAGGGACAGCCTGTCTGAGGTGACGTGTGACAGCAGGTACCGTCTGGGAGTGTTCTCCAGCAGGCAGCGTGTTTTACACAGGTTTTATTGCTTGAAAATTCATCGTCACTTTCTGGAGAAGGGCCCCCCGGAGTATGATCTGTTTCAAAACAGGGCCCCTGCGCAGCGCCAGGAGGAGCAGGCGCGGTGCACCTTGACTCTGGCCTCTGGGATTTTGAGCCCAGAACACTGGATCCCCGGGAAGGGAAATGCCCTTCTCCCCAAGTCTCCCTTGGCGATCACCCCGACTTCCCTCCCACAGGAGTTCGTCATCCATTCCCCCGATTTCGAAGCTGCCAAGTTCTGGGTGGGCAACATGGGCAAGACGGCGACCCACAGCGTGGTGTTCGCACAGCTGTACACGCCGGACGGCCAGTGCCACGGGCTGCACTCCTTCGTGGTACAGGTAGGCGGGGGTGGGTCACCCGAGGCCACGTGTGTGGTTTCTGTGAGCGCGGGTGTGGCCCCGAGGGGGCTCCTTGTGGAAGTGTCCCACTACAGAACTCTGTTTCTTCTCGAATTCTGAAAGGGACTGAGACCAGTGTCTCAACCGCTTCCTCGCTGCTGAAACACAGTATCCAACGCCCATGGATTAAGGGAGGAGAGGTTTATCTTGGCTCAGGGTTTGTGGAGGTTTCATTTCATAGTAGCTGGCTCCAGAGCAGGGGGACGTGGGCAGGAGGAGAATCAGCTCAAGGCATGGAACCGGGAAGTGGAGAGCAGGGGGAGGGAGGGAGATAGACCCTTCCAGGCCACGCCCCCAGTGACCCCGCCTCCAGCCAGGCTTCACCTCCCGACATCACACCTAGCTATAAACGCACCAGTGGACTAAGATCAGAGCGTCGCTCCCTCATGATCCTGGCCCCGCCCCAAAGCCCCACCTCTGAGCGCATGAGGCTTTGGGGGACATCGAGACAAAACCATTATACCAGGGGTCACCGAGCCCCAGGCCTCGCAGCAGGGGGTGCACTGTGGGTGAGCAGCGGAGGCTTCATCCACCCCTTCACCTGAGTCCCGCGTCTGTCAGATCACCGGGCATTAGGTTCTCAGAGTCCAAGGCCGGGACCTTGAGAGCCGGCTGAGCCGACCGTGAACTGAGCATGCGAGGGTTTTAGGTTGCAGCTCCTTCGGATCACCCCAAAGCCGCCCCCTCCCCTCCCCTCCGTGGAGAAACTGTGTCCCACAAAACCTACCCCTGGTGCCCAGAAGCTTGGGGGCCACTGTTGCAGACCACGGGGCCGCAGCACTTGAGGCTGTTTCCTGAGTGATGCCGAAACTGCTCCCCAGGGTCACGTCACCCCGCAAAGCTCTCAGTGTGCCCTGGCACTGCGGGTCCTCACGCTGGAGCCGATGGTGTGGGAGCGAGGGAGCGTGTCTTGGTTACTTTTCTCTCCTTGCTGAGACAGAACACCTGATGCCCAGAATTAAGGAAGGAAAGGTTTATTTAGCTCACAGTTTGTGGAGGTTTCAGTCCATAATCAGCTGGCTCCAAGGCGGGGTGGCGGGGCACAGGGACAACAGTTCAAGGTGGCACAAGACGGCAAAAGCAGCGAGAGCAAAAAGTGAGGTGGGAAGCGAGCCTCTTTTCCCCCTTATATTGTATGCTAGCTATCAGCGTATGCCAGCTATCAGGGTATGCCGGCTATCAGGGTATGCCCGCTATCACTCCACGCCCGTACCAGCTCGGTGCCCTCCTCTTGCACAGGCTCAGGTGAATACAAAGTAAGGGCCCTGGCCCCCTGCTGAGTCATGCATTAACCTTCTAACTCAGGTTGACACAATGAACATCGTACAGTGATGAGGGCAAGTCCTTACCCAGGATGTAGAACTGCTGAGTTACTTTGTTAAGCTTCTAGACTCCTCCAGTTGACACAGTGTATCAGCCATAACAGAAGGAATCCGGTGATCCAGGACACTGCCTGACCAGAACCAGGAGACATTCCTGTCCTTGTGAGGACGGAGGGGCTGGGTCTGTCACAGGGTGCTGAGTGCATTTAGGACCTCAGACTCCTAAGGGTGACAGGAAATGTGAGATGGAAATGCTTTTTTTTTTTTTTTTTTTTGAGGCAGGGTCTCACTGTGTAGTCTAGGCTGGCCTTAAACTCACTAAGTAGCCCAGGCTGGCCTGGAACTCACATCAATTGTCCTGCCTCAGCCTGCCGAGTGCTGGGATTACAGGCGTGTGCATCATGGAAATGCTGGCTGGAAATGCTTTTTGGATATGGGTCACACTAAGTAGTTACTTCCATTTCTAGCTGTAGAATTCACTCCTTGATGTAGGAATTACCAGGGTATTTATAATCTGCCTTTAATCTTATATTTATATAAGACCCTGAAGGCTTGTGTTATTCTCTGTTCGATGACAAGCGTCCCCTGTGTGTGTGTTTTCCCTCTGTGTGGATCATCTTTCCGTGGCTGTAGGAAAACATCAGATAGTCACTCTCAAGGAGGAAAGGTTTGTTTGGGCCGGCGGCTTCAGAGCTTCAGTCTGTGGTCTCTTGGTCCCATCCATGTGGGCCTGAGGTGGCGGGGAGCACTTGGGAGCAAAGCTGCTCCCCATGGGGGCTGGGAGGTGAGTGATGGAGACCGGAATGGGCTGGGAGGACCCCCCACTTCTCCCTTGAAGGCGCCGAAGTTCCCCACTCCCAGGAGCAGTCCAGGCTGCTGACCCACCTTAGACACGTGGCCCTTGGGCCATTTAAGTTTCAAACGGTGGCACCTTCTCTCTACCTTGCCTTTGTTGTTGTTTTCAATGGATTTATTTCAAAAGGTCCTAAAGATGCATGTGAGTCTTTACTGAGCCGCTTCAGAAGACTTCAGAAAAGGGAAAAGATGCCTGAGGTTTGGATTTTAACCCTTTTTCAGTTTTTAAATAAATTGAGTTGGATGATTATTTCACAAAATAAACAAAAATTAATGACTTGTGTGAACAGGTAAATTCCAAATGAGATCAGCTCGGTCGGTCTGTTTCTCTGTCTGTCTTCTGTCTTTCCCCCTCTCCCCTCTCCCCTTTCTGTCTCTCTGTTCCTTTCATGCTGGGGTTGGAGCCCAAGGCCTCCTCGTGCTCAGCACAAGCTCTGGCGGGAGCTGCACCCCAGCCCTGGATATTTCTGTGAGGCCAGTTGCCCACCTTGGCGCTGGGGGCTCCGTGGGCGCCGTGAGCTGGGCCCTGCTCTGTGGTGGGCGTGCCCGTGCCCGTTGGAGTGGTGGCCACAGCCCTGGCCTCCCCCACTGGGTGCAGCTGTTCCCCTAGAACAACAGGAGCGTGTGCAGACGCCGGCCTTGTGCCTGGTAGGGAGGGCTGGTGGGTCCTCTGTGACTGGGGTCTCGTAGAAAGAACCCTGAGTCCTCTCTGTGGGGCTTGTATGGTGGGACCGGCCACCTGCTGGGTCTGCCTGCTTTCGTTACACACGTGCGTTCCCTCTGCGGGCGCGGAGTCTCAGCACAGACACTTCGCTGTCTCCCCCTCAACGTGTGCGGGCGTGGCTGTGGTGACATTTTGTTAGCGTCCTGCAGGAGTCTTGTGTCTGAGGTCTGGACAGGGCGTCTGGTGCCCTGTGGGCAATGTCACCTCTCACCACAACCCTGCCTTGGGTGCCATGTTAGAGCAGCACGGTGGGGCTTACGACCACGGGAAGTCATGCCGCTCAGCTCTGAGGCTGCAAGGCAGGGCTGTTTCACTGCTGTGGAGGCGGGAAGTCTGGCGTCAGGTGTGGCAGGGCCCAGCTGCTCTTGGGACTCTGGGGAGGCTCCGTCCCGCCTCTCCCAATGCCTGGGGATCCAGGTGCCCCTAGCTGGTGGCCGTGCCACTGCAGTCTCTGTCCCCGTGCATCTTTCTGTGTGTGCAGCGTCCGTCCTCTGTCTCTAGTGAGGACCTCCGTCATGTGTTTGGGGCCCAGCAGGGTCATCTGGGGGGTCCTGTCTCACGATCCCTACCCCATCACGTCTGGAGGCCCGGTGTCCATGTCAAGCCCCATTCCTAGGTCCTGGGTTGGGACTTGGCTGTGTCTTTTCCGGGGGACACGGTGTGACCCAGTCACCCAGCGGAACCCCTGGATCTGCCACTGGGGCCATGCACACATTTAATCTTTCTATGATCCTCACAGAGGCTGTTTATTGCTGTCCTTGGTTTTGTGCAGATCCGGGACCCGAAGACGCTCCTCCCCATGCCAGGTGTGATGGTTGGTGACATGGGGCGGAAGCTCGGGCAGAACGGCCTGGACAATGGGTGAGTGTCGCTGTGGACCCGGCGGCTGCAGCGTGTCCGCCCTGGTGCCTTTGCTTGAGATCGGCACTGAGATTCCTCAGGTCCCAGGCTGGGGCCTCCCCTCTGTTACCTCCCCAGGCCGTGTGTGCTGACCTTGCCCTGTGGGACCCCGGGAGGTGGCTCTGAGGTGGCAGGACGCCCTGGCCTCTGTGTGTTCCATGCCCGTGTCCATGTCCTGCATGCCCTCAGCCCTGGGATGCCACCTCCATCCAGTCCTCTGTGGACCGACTGGCTTCCCAGTAGATGGTGCCCCACTCTTAGGCCAGGCCGACCTACGCCTGCCTCCTCCTCCATGGGAATCAGGCTCAGCAGTGGCACTGTCGAATAGACCCCAGACCCGTGTCCACAGTCACATCTGTGGCCTGCGCTTGTTCCTAGCACCAGCTCAGAGTCTGAGCTGGAAGAGAGTTGGTGGTTTACCTGTTCTAGCAGCACTAGGGTGGTGTCTTGGTTACTTTTCTCTCATTGCTGGGACAAAATACCTGACGCCCAAAATTAAGGAAGGAAAGGTTTATTTTGCTTACAGGTTGTGGAGGTTTCAGTCCATACTTGGCAGATTACAAGGCAGACTGGCACATGGCAGAGGGCTACAGCTCAGGGCGCAGAACACAGCAAAGCAACAAGCACAAAAGCCAGGAATGGCCTCAAGCACCCTTTTCCTCTCCCTTACATATGCAAATTATCCACCCCAGGGCGGGTGTAGCTCTCATATCCATAATCCATCGAACTCTAAAAGCCTGCCCCATGGCCTCATGAGGCTTTGGGGAGACACCCAGACACAAACCATAACAGGTGGGAATAGGCTGAGCACCAGGTGCACTGCAGCAAACAAGCTGGGGTGCATGGGTCTGGTGCCTCAGGGACAAAGCACAGCACCTGGAGTGGGCCTAAGAGGACCCTCGGGAGTGCTGGTGGACAGGTTGAGACCGTGGGTTAGGAACAGTGTCTGGCTGGCGTGGGGACAGCACGGGCTGAGGCTCCATCTGGGGTGGGAGCAGCTCATCAGGGGCATTGGGTCTTCCTGAGGGCTGGGGTTGGACAGGACAGGAACTATTTGAGCTGCAGTTTCAGGACCCCCAACCCCGTGCCACCTGGGCCTGCTTTCTCAGCTGGGCTCCTAAGTGAAATGGCCTGTGACAGTGGTCCCCTTGCTTCTGGAGCCCCAAGATTCTGCCCAAGTTCAGCTCTCCGCAGCTCCTTGGCTCCTTCCCCACCTTCTGGTGCCTGTGGTCCCAGCAGTGCCCTGGGTGGAGGCCCATGCTGACCAGCAGGCAGAGGACAGTGCTCCATGGTTGGCCGCAGGGTCCCAAGGCCTCACCTGAAGAAATGTCCTTCTGTCTGTCCCCTGCTGGAAAGTGGGGGGATCTTGCCACTCTGCCCAGACTTCACAACAGGGGTGTGGGGTGGCGTCAGCCCCAGAGGAGAGGCTGGGGCCTGGGACCCCACACTATTGCCGTGTAGGTGCTGAGGGCTGGGCGCATGCCTGTGGCTGGCACGGTACCTTCCCCGCGTGTAGCTGCACTGGGCTCAGGATCCCCGCTCATTTGGCTTGAGTGTCTTCAGCTTTATTTTGGGAGATCCCGGAGAGCCCCATGCTTGGTTCCCCCCCGACAGCACTGCTCAGGAGGACGAGCATGTGCTGTCGGGTGCTGGCCTCCGTGGGGCACTGAGCTGGACCCGGCCAGGGCATCACATCCGTGTGAGGGCGCTGTGATGCTGAGACCCCAGCTGCCTGGAGCCTCGAAGTGGTGAGAAACTGGGGGATGGTGACAAGCTGAGCCGCAGCTCCGTCAGCCCGGGAACTGACCAGGTCGCTCCCCGCACCCAGCAGCCAGAGGCGCAGCTGGGGAAGGCTGAACCTCCTGGTGGTCTTTAGCCAGGCACTGTCGCGCTCCAGCCTGCGGGTTGCAGGGTCACCCAGCAGAGGGCGCCGGGGGCTCGGGCGTGCAACTGTCATTCGTGGCCGCTCAGTTGGCTCCTGTGTGGCAGGGTTACAATTTAGCAGAGTTTTTAAAAACAATTTCGAAACCTTTTAATGTGAAAAAAGCAATATTGCCCTGTCCGGCAAGGCCTCTGTCTCCAGTATGGATGCTTCGTCCGAACCCACGAGGGCTTCCGAGTTTTGGTGAAAGATATTCTTGACACCGTGTGTGTGACCTTAGTCATCTGATGAGTTGCCATGGGGATCATTGATATTTTTAAGTGTGTTTTCTTGCAGTTACGCAATAACTATAGCTTTTCAGAACCTTGTTTCCTAAGCTGTTGTGAAATAAATAGGTTTTTCCGACCTGACGACCATACAAATATCTCCAGATACTAAGGCATAATACTTGGGGTGGGGAAGCCGCAGGTGCAGATTCTCTGGTTTGACTTACGCACTTGAAGCCTCAGTTTGCTGATGTACCCTCCCCAGCTGTGGGCTCTGTTCTGAGGGGAGCCGTGGGGAGAGCTGTCCAGGGCCAGAGCCATCTTCCTGTCGGAGCAGGGTCCCTCCCTGTGCGCAGGTGACCTGCCCCGTGTCCCTTGGGAGCACACTGTGTCCTGCAGGGTCGAGGGCCTGGCTTTGATGGTGCCCCAGGCATGGTGCCCACGCTGTGCGTTCTCCTTGTCTCTGGGGTGACATCACCTTCAGGCTGCCTTGGGGAGAGGAGAAAAGCCAGGGGAGGGGACTCCAGTGACAGGAGCCCTGTCCTTTGCCCCATAGTTTCGCCATGTTCCACAAGGTGAGGATTCCCCGTGAGAACCTCCTGAACCGGACCGGGGACGTCACCCCCCAGGGCACCTATGTCACCGCCTTTGAGGTAGGATGGTTCTCCGGGGGTCTGTGTGCATCCCTGGTGGCCCGGGCACACTTGCGTCCGTTTAAGTTTGGTGCCCCAGCCCTGGGAAGGGGAGCCGCCCTCATCCCCAGCCACTCTCCCAGGCAGCTCTTCAGTCTGGCCGCATCTGTCACCCCTCCTTTTCCCCAGGATGCCAAGCAGCGCACCGGGGTGTCCCGGGGAAGCCTGTCTTTGGGGCGCGTCTTCATCACGAGCATGTGTGTGGTGAACCTGCAGCAGGCCGTGTGCATTGCAATCCGCTTCTCAGCCACGCGGCGTCAGTTCGGCCCCGCGGAGGAGGAGGTCCCGGTGCTGGAGTACCAGATGCAGGTTGGGCTGCTCGGGTCTCTCCGCTTCTTCCTGTTCTGTGTGCGGATGCTCCCCCTTTGGAGAGGTGCTGCCTGGCTTGCAGGAGTAGGGGTACAGTACAGGGCAGGGCCACACCCTGCACAAGTGTCTGGCAGCCAGGCAGGTGGGGTGTTGTTCCCGGTCTGTGGGACACTGAGGACCACCACACGGGGGCTCAGGTCAAGATCCTGAAGGTGAACTGGCCTTGTGCCGGGCCGCTGAGCAGCACAGTGAATCTGATGCCAGCTAAGCAACGGGGGCAGAGTTGCAGGTGCCCCCTGGACCTGTCTTTTTACCACACCAGGATCTGCGTTAATAAGGAGGGAGGCGAGGGAAAGCTAAGCGTCCTGTTCACACCTGTGCAGCCGAGAGGCCCCACAACCTCCTGTCGCCCCTGTGGCCCCGGAGCATCTTGTGACCCCCAGCACCACAGGCAGCACAGTGGTTACGGCAGCCACGACCCAGGTCCCCCCAACAGGCTGTGTGCCTGGGTGAGGTGCTGGCCTCCCCGGCTCTGCCGTGCTCACGGGGCATTGTGCCCAGCTGATGCCTCTGCCCAGGGGGCTGGCAAGGCCTAGGTGGGCTTGTGGGACAGGGATATGGCTGGCACAGTGGCTGGTACTCCACAGATGTAGGACAGTGGTGGCTGTGGCCTATGGGTCCCTCCACACTTCACTCCCTCCGCCCCACCTCCCACCTGTCCCTCTGTCTACCCATCCGTCTAGCAGTAGTTGTGCCCACCCCATGTCTGCTGCTGGGTCTGCACGGGTGATAGGCACTCGCTGAACTCTGAGGGCTTGTAGGTCTGTAGCTACCTGAGTTTCCCTACCTGCATTAGAGTGTGATCACTGCATCACCATGGCTTGGAGGGAGAGGTGGAGGGAGGGATGGGTGGAAGGGTAGAAGGAGGGATGGATGCAGAGGTGGAGGGAGGGATGGGTGGAGGGGTGGAGGAAAGCCCAGGCTGGAACCTGGTAGTCCGAGTGCTGGGCTCAAGGCCGGCCCTGAGGCTGGTTCTTCGAGCACAGGCAGCCTGACCCGGGGCTTGTGTCCCGGGGACGACGATTGGCCCTCTGGGACCACGTCTTCGGTGTCTCTTCTAGCAATGGCGCCTGCTCCCGTATCTGGCGGCGGCCTACGTCCTGGATCACTTCTCCAAGACGCTGTTCCTGGACCTGATGAGACTGTATCAAGGCCTGCTCAGGGGAGACCACAAGGCCCTGCAGGTGAGGCTCCAGCCCCTTGTCGCTGAGGTCAGCGGCCCAGCTGCAGCTTGGGAGAGGGGCCTGGGGCCTTGGCACAGACCCTCGATGCCCCCCCGGAACTGGGCCTGCGCTGTGGCGTCAGCGTGTGGGCTGCGTCCCCATCTCCCGAGGAAGTGCTGAGCCTACTCCTCGCCCTTCCCGACTATGAGTTCAGCAGCTCTCCTCCTCTGAGAATGTGATGGCTTGGCAGAATCCACGTTGCCGGCTACGGTGGGTTTCATGGTCCCGATCCTTCCATAATCAGCTGCACAAAGGTCGGCATCCTGCTGACTACATTGGAGTCGACAGCCAAGGATTTGTGCCAGCAGGGAGCGTGCAAATCCCCTGAGATCAGCGTGGAGGACGGAGAAGCCCCGGGCGAATTTCTTTGTCGCTGGTTTACCACGTGGCTTTCCGAAGCCTCCTGGGTTGCCCCTGGGGGCGGGAGCAGAATATGAATCCAAACAAAGGGGTTTGAAAGCAGTCTAGACATGCCGCAGCCTGGGGCTATGAATGACACCCTCAAATGCCTGTCACAGCAGCGGACCCTGAATACCCATGTAGACTCCAGCTCGGGAGGCAGGGCCGCCACACGACGGCCAGTGGGACTCACTGTGGGGCCACTGGGGGTCCGGTGAGGTTGAACAAGGCTGTAGCCCAACAACAAGGGGTTAAAAGTGCTCACCCTGAGTCCTGGCAACTCTGCCCGCTGACTTTGGCAGTGTTCTCCTATGAAGGGCACAAGGTGCAATTCTGTTTGCTCTAAAATTCAGTCGTTTGACTCAGCCAAGCCCCGGAGCACCCCAGAGTAGCCCCTTGTTCATTAGAAGACCCTAACTGCGTCCCTTCATGTAGCAGGCGTGTGTCTCTTTCTTTCAATTTTGGTTATCAAGCACAAGCAAAAGGACATTTACCAAGCACATGCAGGGCATGAGAGAGGACAGCCCCACCTACGCCTGGGCCCGGTGCACGGTCAGTGACGGTCACCACTCACACCTGCGCCGAGGTCACACCCCCTGTACATTCTTGGGTGGATCCCTCCCTGATTTGAACTAAAAGTGGGTCTCCTCCTGTGAGCGTGGGGCATCTCAGGCTAGGCTGGAAGGGGCCCAGTGCATCAGTGGTGGCTAGCACTGTCTCAAGCCCCCCTTCAGCTTGCCTCTTTGGATCCCCCTCCCAAGGCAGAGCTCAGCCGCGAGATCCATGCCCTGGCCACGGCCGCCAAACCCCTGGTCTCGTGGACGGTGCAGCAAGGAATCCAGGAGTGCCGGGAGGCATGCGGCGGGCACGGCTATCTGGCAGGTAGGTTTGGGAAAACGCTTGGCGGTTGGTTGCCTGCTGTCCTTCCCCACAACATTTGACACTAGGCCTGCCAGCCAGCCCCAGCCCCTGCCTATTGCTATAAATAAATTCTTATTTGCACACAGCCGCCCTGGTTCCTGCCCATGTGCGTGGTCTGTGGCCGTTTCTGTGTACACCCCACAGCTCCCAAAACCTGACTATCTGCCCCTTGGCCCATCACATGATACGTTTTGCTAGCCCCTGCCCTAGGTAGATGTTAATTGCTCAAAAACCAGGACATAATGCAGTATGGAAAGATGTGTGAAGAGCCACAGAAAGCCAGGGCAGGGAGAAGGAGGTCTTTTATTTCGTTTGTGACTTTCTGGTTAATGATTGCGTAGAACGCTAGCACCACGTCTTGTTCTGATAAGAAAGTTTTTAAAACTTTTATTTTATTAGTAGGTGGTGCAGTGCATAATGCTCACATTCCTCGGGGGAAGTTACATGCACACTTCCTAGTTCCTTTTTTATTCCCTTTCCTTTCCCTCCCCTCCCCCTAGAAAATTCTTAAGCTTAGGAAGAAGAGTTTCACTGGTGCTGTGTGTTCTTTAGGCTGCTGGCCCAGGGTTCGGGCAGCTCGTGGCCCCGGCGTGAGGGCAGAGCCTGGCTCCGTCTCCCGGCGCGGCAGCTGGCAGTTGTTCAGCCTGGCTGTACCTCTCTTTCCTAGTGTGAAAGTGGGATCAAGCGTCTGCCCATAGCACAGGTTCTTGGGGAGGTCAAGCGGATTAATACCACGAAGTATTAGCAGAGGGACCCCGGCTGGAAACTTTTTATCTGCTAAGTTTAACGTTAACGTTAGAATTACTACTGTTGCCTTTGCTGTTCGCAGCTTACCTGTACAACTTCCTGTGTGTGGATCTTAAGTAACTGTTGGGTAAAAGCTGGTTTATTCTATGAAGGCCACATACTTGCTGCAGAGACAACAGGACTTCACAGCCCTTACCGGCCTTCCAAAGCATCTTGTGCCCTTGCCCGGTGCTGGCTGCTGACGCCTGTCCCCTTTGATCTCACTGGTGCCCGCTCCAGCGAGGTGGCGTCGTGGGGCCTGTGCAGAATTCACTGCTGTGCCCGTCTTTGCCCTCTGCACAGCGTCTTGGCAGTTTTTTGTTTGTTGCTGTAACTCACAGAGATACCATAAATAGCTTCATTCTGGTTTTGAGGAGAATGGGGAAATTGAATCTTGGACTGAGTCGAGATTCGTTAGTTACGCAAACACTGGGCTGAGACCAGCAGGGCTGAAGCCAGCTGGGGTAAATGCAAAGGGCTTTATCTGGGTTCAGAACCTCAAACGCAGGTTTTCCTTCTAAGACCTCTCTCAGCCCTCTCTGCCCGGTGGCTTAACTGGCCTGGAAGGGCGGGAGAAATGTGATTTGACAGCAGCCAGGGAAAAAAAATGATCAGAGGTTGTAGGTGACCCCAGACTTCCTGCGAACGTGGCCGGCACAGAAGGGCTCAACCGTGTGGGTAGGACAGAAAGAAGGCACCCCCTTGCTCCCCCAGAGGAGGAAACCCCGGTGGCTGAGGGTGTGGCAGGGACACCCTGTAAAAGTGTGAGGGTTGTTTGCCTGGCTGGAGCACCTACAGCAAATGAGTGTTTTCAAATCGTTGCAGTGTCTTAGAGAAGGCAATTACAGAGGAAGAAGGGCAGCTGCCCCGCTGGCTCAGGGTGTCAGCTTCCTGGGAGTGCCCTACTCTGGCCGTCCCCCCGCAGCTGGGTGCTCACAGGGACAAGGACCACGGAGTCCGCACTGCCGCCGCTCAGTGTCCCGCCAGCTTCCAGGAGGCCCCTGTCTGTGCTTAGGTTAGCAGTGTAGACCTCCGCTGAGGTTATGGGGTGCAGCTCGTAGGAGATGGGTTGGGAGGTGCCAGGCTGCTGGAGCTCCCTCTCTGGTCCAGTGGAGTGCAGGCTGTGACCAGGTGGCTCTCAGACGAGCATCTGGACTGATGCGGTGTCCTGGCTCGGTTGCAGTGAACCGATTGGGCGACCTCAGAAATGACAATGATCCAAACTGCACATACGAGGGTGACAACAATGTCCTGTTGAGGCAGACCAGCAAGTACCTGCTGAGCTTCCTGGAGAACCGCGAGCAAGGTAGACCTGGTGGGCGTCGGAGTGGGGGGGGGTGCGCTGATGGAGTTAGTGCCCTGTGTCTGCAGAAGGAGACAAACGGTCCCAGAGGGCGATCAAGCCAGTCCCCCAGTCCCGGGCGAGGCAGGGCTGTTCAGAGATGGTTCCTGGCTGCTGGGCTTCTCACCTTTCACCAAAGTCACGGGCATCTGTGTCCTAGATGGAGTGCACTTCCAAAGCCCACTGCGGACCGTGGACTTCCTGGAGGGCTACCCCAGCCTGCTTGGCCAGAGGTTCCAGGGTACCAGCATGGCCGATTGGCTGGACCCCACAGGTGCGTCACCTCCCCTGGTGTGGGGTTGGGTTTTCCTGGCTGTCTCTTCCTTATCCAGGAAAATGCACCATGCATGGGTGGGGGTGTTGGTGGTTCCTTGGGGGGTGGCTGCACACAGGGCGTCTCCTGACTGATGCTTGGGGCACTCTTCATGCCTGGTGCTGGCCTCGCTCCCCAGGATGACACGAGGGTTGCCTGTCCCTCAGCCTGCAGGACGGAGTGCAGAGAGGCCCTGCAGTCTGCTGTCTGAGCCCCTGGCCTGGGTGCCTGGGCTCTTGTGGCAGGAGCCTCAAGGCTGTTGCTGTGGACAGCTCTGGCTTCCTGCATGCCCTGCTTAGATCCCACTGGGCTGCGCCTGTCTCTGCCCTCATCTGCCGCCTCCCAGTGGCAGCCTTCATCCCCACAGCCAGCCTGCTTCCTGCCCTGGTCCCTGGGCAGGTGGCTTGGGTCCTCTCACTTACCTCCCTCTGGTGCCACCATCTGCTGGACCCAGCACAGAGCTCACCCACAGAACGTTCTGTAGCGCGTGACCCCTGTGGGCCCACGAGAGCCCTGGACAGCACAGCACAGCACATGGCATGCTCCAGGCTGCCTGTCTCACCTGAGATTGCACTCTGGGGAGGGCTACTGCTCTTACGTTGCCCTTGGGTGAAATCTGCAGTTCCAGAGGCGGGGACCCAGAGGTGACTGAGCCCAGGTGCGGCTCTGCGGGCTTCACGGACCGGATGGGGGCTTGGGGGCAGGTGAACCTGTCATGGTGCTACAGCAAGGAGAGACACAGAAACAACACCCAGGATTTGGAGGCGGATTTATTTATGTCAATGGGCACGGATTGGGACTGTTCCCACAGTATCAGGCCCCAATCTCTGGTGGTCTAGGGCTTATATGGGATAAGCAAGCAGGAAGTGCAGAGGCAGACTGGCTTGTCTGTTGGGGATTGGTTCTTACAATGTGCATCACAGTGACCAGCTGTTTCTAAGAGGCAGAAGCAACCGGAACTGGAACAGGAACTATCACCTGGGCAACTACAAAACTCAAGTATACTGGCTGGGTGGTAGAGCATCTTCTGCTACATGGGAGCAAGGGTCCAGTGGGGTGGTGGCTGGGGCTGCTGTGTAGACCCTGGCTGGCCATGCAGGGGTCCCTCAGAAAGTGGTTGTGATCTCCATGGAGGACAGGGGCCTGTGGGCAGCCCAATGGCGGGACTGTGCTGGGTTCTAAGGCCAGGCCGGCAGAGGCGGGACTTTCAAGAGGCGGGACTGGGCGCGCCTGGTGCCAGGAGTGACAGGTCATCACAGCAGGAGGCAGCTGGACCAATGGGCCTGTGTCCTGTGCCTGGCCTATATTTGCAAAATGCTGCTCTAAGGGGAAGGCGCCTCTGGAAAGAGGTCAAGGTGAGGGAAGCACTTGGGTGGGGTCACCCAGGTGTGAGGGCTCCCGGCAGCCAGGGCCAGTGGATGGAGTGGCTGGGAGCTTTGTGTCCCCAGAGGGCCAGGCCTCCCACTCCTCACTGAGGGTGCTTGCAGCATGCCCCTGCCTCAGCCACCCCTGGGTCTCACATTCGGCTGCAAGCCCCCAGGCTGCAAAATTTAGGATCTGTGTGACAACTTGGAGCTTCCTGGCCAGGAGCCAGGAGCTTCGACAGAGAGCAAGGTTAGGCTCTGCCCCTCCACACTGCCTGGTGTCAGTGGCTCCTGGGGGCCAGCCCGCCTCCCACAGGGATCCCCGCTTCTCATCAAATCCTGCGTCACAAAGAACGGTGTAAGCTTTGGGAAACGTCACTGCCCTACCCTCGCCTAACCCAGTAGTATTTAATCAGCATTCGTAGAACTCCAGTCTCCAAGGGCCGTAGAGAGCTGTCTGCCGGCCTGGCCTTAGAACCCAGCACAGGGTCCCTGCAGCCAGGCAGAGACTGATGGTCCTGGTGAGGCCCCAGGAGCCGCCTGTGCCACCCAGTGTGGTGACAGCACCCCAGCTGCCTGGGAGACCCACGTTCCCACCAGCTGTGCTGCCAGGCTCCACCCTTCTTGCCTGCAGCCCCAGCCAGCCTAGGAGGTGCCTCATATGGCTCTGCAGAGGACCAGCACGGAGGTTGGGAGGGACTTAGCACAGCACTTGGCACCAGTACCCGCTCAGCATCTGCAGACGGCCATTCAGATGCACAGCTGTGCCGTGACTTATTGTGAGCATCGTCCAGCCCAGGGGAGGAGCCGCTCCAGCTACCATCTTCGCCGAGGAGTTCCTGACAATACCCAGCCTTCCCGGCCCGTCCACCTCCTCACCATGCTCATGGCAGACAGGCACTTGGGAGGCTCTGTCGGATGATCCTGAGTCACTTTCCGAGCTGCTCCGGTGCTGCTGCAGAAGGCTGCAGAGCAAGATGGAATCCTTCGGTGACCCAGCACACATCCCTGAGGTCATCCCTGCTGCAGAGCGGAAGCACAGGTCCACAGTGCCCAGCGCCGGCCCCCACCAGGCTTTGCCCTCCTGGCCCCGTCACCTGAACGCAATAGCAGCAGCATTTCCCGCCCGCCTCTAGGAACGTCGTCTTTCCTGTCTCCTCCCCAACGCTTGTGAGACCCAACAAAATGGATAGGTTTCCTGAGGGGACTCTGCACTGGGTGGAAAGTGCCCCAGCCTGGCCCCCCATCCCTGCGGTCACCAGGTCCCAGGTCCTGGGCTGACTCGGGGCACAGCCTTGGGCCACTGGGGGCGTTCCACAGCGGCTTTCAGGCTCAGCTCTGCGGGACCGAGGGAGGCCGGCCTGTCCTGGGGTCCGCAGCCGAGTGCAGGGTGGAGACTCAGAGCAGGGATCCCGGCCTTCGAGGACAAGTGCTGCCGTGGGAGGGGCAGACGCCGCGGCGGTGTGTTCCTCGGGCGTGTGCAGGAGACGTGTGTGAGATGCATGGGATGAATGGCTTGTGCACGGCCATGTGTTACCTCGCTCCGGAGCCTGCCCTCAGCTGGCTCCTTTGTGTTAACTCAGGTGGTGGCTGTGTCACTACTCCAGCAGCTGTGTGTGTGGACGGGTGTGAGGTCAGGAGGGGTCATGTTGCACAGTGACGTCCTCTGTAAGGCAGCGAGGTTGCGGGGCCGTGAGGACAGGCAGTGAGGTCACACAGCACTGGTAGTGGGGTCATGGGCCAAGGGGTGCAGGGTGCTGGGGCCTCAGGGTCTGTCTGGTGCAGCCTGTGGAAGGTTCCAGGAAGTCCGAGGACAGAAGCTGTCCAGGTGAATTTCCTGAGCCAGTGACACCCCCAGCCCATGTGGGTCGCTGACCATCTCAGATGAGCTGCAGGGATCGTCCTGACCCCGCCGTCATCAACGCCTCTTGAGGAGCCTCCCCCTGCACCCTGCACGGGGACATGCGAAACCACGATGTCTCTGTGACAGCCCGAGGCTAGAGCGTTGTTTCTGAAGCAGATGTGTGCGGACACCAGAGGTCACAGAGCAACATCAAAGTTGGTCATCAACTTCAGCACCTTGGGCGGGATCTGGCTGCGGAAGGGCTTGGAACGTGCAGGTGACTTCACCCTGCAGCGTCCACCGCAGAGACACTTGCCAGGATGGGACAGTGCGTGGGGACGGCCCAGCTGGCACTGTGAGAGGAAGCGGCAGGTGTGTCACTGGCTCCCTGGGTCACATTCAAACTGCAGAGATCAAGACCTCTGATGCCCCCCTTTCCCCTGCTCCTGACAGCCGTGACTGGGAGGAGTTGCAAAGCGGCTGTCGCAGAGACCTCAGAGCGGGCTTGCAGCCTGGTGCCAGTGTCCTGGGGGTCTGAGGGCTAAAACCTGCAGCCTGGACCTTCACTGTTTGGAAGCCAAAGCCGGAAGTCCAGGGGTCTGCAGGGCCAAGCGTCCGCCCTGTCTGCTCCAGGTGTCCCTGGCTGCCGGGCACACGGCTCTGGGCTGCTGCTGTTGTCATGGGGCTTTCTCTGTGCCTTGTAAGCAGTGTGTTATTGGGTTTGCCGCGGCTCCCACCCACAGTGACCTCACCTGGGCAGCCTTAACTTCCTCACACCTGCCAAGGCCCTTTGACTTAACAAGGCTAGGACGGGTTCTCGGGGTTAAGTCTGATGAGACCTGGGTCACCGGGGAGTGCTCCATACCCAGTGGGACCCTCAGCCCGGCCCTGCCCCTGCCACACCTGCTATGCCTGGAGCTCACAGACACCCAGCTGCCCCTCCCGGTGGCTGTGTGGCTGTGGCCAAGCTGCTTGACCTCTCTGAGCCTGTGGGATAGTCTTGTTTGGTTGGTAATGGGTGCTCAGTCGTACCTGAGGAGTCACTGATCTAGCAACTGAGAAACAGCCAGACCAGCTATGGTGTCCTCTCCTGGGGCCTGGGCTGGGTGACACAGGACTGCTCCTGCCTTCCTGGGAGCCCCAAGCCAACAGCAGCTGCCAGGCCAAGGGGCTCCCTGTCTGCTACAGCCTGGAGGATTCCAGGTCTGGACACCGGGCGCCTGTGCCTGCTGGGAGCATGGGTGACAGCGTGGATTTAGGGCCATCGGGCCCAGACCCCCAGCTCCACTGTCAGGGAGAGGCTGGCTCTGGGGGTGCTGGGACCCATATCCATTTGGGTGCTGGGGCGGCAAGGAACTCAAGGCAGCCTCTAGGCATGAGCAGAAATGCCCTCCTCATGCCCTCTCCTGGCTGGCCACTGCCTGGCAAGATGTCTCAGATTCTCAGTTCCCCCATACCCTCCTGGCAAAGATCACCCAGGAGGGGCACACAGCCATGCCACATGTGCTAGGTAAGTGCAGACACTGTCAGATGCTCTGTGGTGACAATGTCCTCCCTGTGTTCCTTGAAGCCCCTCTGGCCGCATACAAGTGGCTGGTTTGCTACCTGCTCCAAAGGAGTCACCAGAAAATCATCCAGGAGAAGAGATCAGGACGAAGTGACTTTGAAGTGCAGAACAACAGCCAGGTATGTGTCCATTTTTAAAATTGTCTATTTGATGTGCTCCAAATTGCTCTGGTATTGCGTTCCCGGGAGGTCTGACATCAGCAGCTGCTGTCCCAGCCTCCCGCTCCAGCCTCCTTGCTTGACTTCCAGAGCCCGATTTACTCCCCTGATGCAGGCACTGGTCCTGCCTGGCCAGGCTGGGTGTGGAGGAGCCACAGAAGTCATCTGCAGCACCTGCTGGGGTCAGTCTGCAGCCTAGAGCTGTGATGGTTGGAGCCGGGGCTGTGGGATTGCGGGAGCCCGAGAGGGGTTGATCCCGTGTGGACCCCAAGGTCCTCTGGACAGGCAGGGACTCACCAAGCTCGCCCATCATTCAGTGCTCAGCTCTGAAAAGTCACCTCTTCGTCGATGGTGGAAAAGGCCCAAGGGTGGCTTGCGATTGCTCAGAAAGCTCACGGTCCTCATGCTGCACGGAAGTGTCGAGGGTCCCAAGAACACACACACAGGAGCCCCTGCTGTGAACACCGCGCCACTCCCTGGGTCACACTCCTTAGTGGAGCTGTCCCCAGGGACCCGGGTCCACATCCTGTGTCCTGCAAGGGCCCCAGGAACCTGCTTGGGGCGAGGGACAAAGATGGTCAGATGGGCTGTGGTTTCAAAGCCTCCTGCTGGGCCCAAGTAAACCAAACAGAATGTATGGCCTGTGAAAAAAAGGATCAGCGGGCGGTGAGGGTCAGTGAGCTTTCCGTTCAGGGCCACAGTGGCCCAGAATAGGAGGCCTAAGATGACCCTTGTGGGACGGCTGCTGTGCAATCACTGGGGCTGGAACAGGGCAGGTTTTGGTCAGTGGTCATTGGCTTCAGCCACTTCCTCTGCAGGTCACGTGGTCATTCTGAATGGAAATAGTGATAGGCCCCCGAGGGGATGGAGGCAAACAAGTGAACATTCCCAACACCGTCTAGGTCCTCAGAACTGCCTGCCAGGGCCGTGTGGACGCACCTGTGCTGTCCCACAGCAGCCTGCCTGGCTCGTGGTTGCCTGGGAGACCTCGCAACACGTGTGTGGCCAGCGGTCTGAGAGGCTGTCACCTGGATCTGCAGTGAGAACTTTGTACCAGCATTTCAGTGCGTCCAGCTACAGAGGACAAGAGGGCTGGGCTCTGGGTGCGGCTGCCATGGTGTCCTGGGGACGGTGGACAGCAACCACACAGAGGGCCAGGAGCCACAGCCCAGAGGCAGCGGGAGCTCCGGCAAGAGGGAGGATATGAGCTACAGAGTGAGGCTGGGTCACTGCTGACGGTCGAGAGCTTCCAGGGCGCTGGGCTGGACTCCGGGGTCCCGGAAGACGTGATCAGGCCCATCTGGCGGTGGGAAGAGCGATGCAGCAAGAGAAGTGAACCTCAGAGGATGTTTACATAACCTCCGTGTGGGATGAACCTTCTTAAGACAGGAAATTTAGAAACTGCAAAAGGAAAAGAAACTGTCAGATTTTTACTGTATAAAAGTTCAACATTTCTGAAGAGCAAAGATGCTACCCGCAAAGTCAGGCAGACCTGGGCCGGAGACACAGAAGGAGCATAGGACTGGCACAGACCGTTCCTGCAGGGAAAGTGCACCCCGGAATCAGGATCAGCCTGGTCCAAGGCAGAAACTCGGCCGGGGACAGGCAGGCTGAAGCCCAGGGGATTGGGGCTCGTGAGGGGGAGGCTGGCCTCGGCAACCAGCATGGAGGGGGAAAGGGCCGGGATGCGCCCCGACTGGCTCAGGGTGCCCTTGTGTCACGCTCCTTGCTGCTCGTTCCTGCAAAGGTGGTGGCCGACGCTTAGCCATGGCAGAGCTGGAACTGCGGACAGTAGAGTGAAGTGTCTTGGCGGGCAGGGCTGAGACTGTGCCAGGAGATGGCCCTGGAGTGGCCCCGGCCCACTGTCCTGTCCATGACTGGTGCAGCTTCGGGGCCAGCAGGGTGTCCAGACCAGTGTCCCTCGGCCCGAGGGTACCAGCCGTGCCCACGGGAAGACCTCGTATGAGGAGTTGGCAGTGTGCGGGATGCTTCCTGCTCCGCCCACCTGGAGCCGTATCCCAGTTCGGCTGGTCACAATGACAGATCGGCCCAGGTGTCTGCAGAACCTGTCCCATGCTGGAGGACACAGGAAGCCCTGCGCGTATGACCGAGACACACAGCACAACAGAGCCATGTGGAAGGCGCCACCTCTGACAGGTCCATCGTGTCCCATGCTGCTGCTGCCAGTGCGGATGCTCTGGGGTGGGGACAGTGGGCCCTGACCCCGGTGCATACAGCTTGCCCAGGTGGGATCTGTGACCTGGTTCGGTCTTCAGCACCCACCGCCAGCTACTGTGTCCAAGGTCCAGACCCCTCCGCTCATGGTGGGTTCTGACGGCGGTAGGTTACCTATGCGGCTGCCTCTCCGCACTCACCACCCCTTGCAGCCTGTGGCTTGGTGACATGGAAGTGTCACCTTCATGGGAAGCTGAGATGAAGCAGCTCACTTTGATGCTGGGAAGTCATGCTTCTGAAAGGTGAAGGGACAGATTGCAAACATGTGTAATCTATTTCCGGCCCGGCTGTTCTGAGCTCATCCTCACCTCTGGCCCCACAGGGTGCCCTCGGCGGAGAGGGGCTCACGGGATGAGAGCTGTGGGGTGTTGGTGGGACTCACAGAGTCACTACGAAGCCAGCCTGCCTGGGCTTCCCATTCTATCCTCGCAGTTCATCAGCTGGGCAGAGGGAGACGTAGATGCCCCTGGCTCTGGAGACGACACCTAGCCAGGGCAGCGACTACAGTGACTGCATCGCCAGTCGGGATGTGGGCGCCTGGGCCTCGGCCCAGCCTCCCCTCAGCGTGGCCCTGGAGATCTGAGGGTCTGGAGTGCAGTCCCCATCCCACCTGCTCCTCATGGCATGAGAGAACAAACTAGCTGTGGCTTAAGTGGGGCAGCCCCTGAGCCCCTGACCCCTCCAGGTGGCCTGCTCTGTAGCGTGTGCGGCCCTGTGGGGTCTCAGGATGGGCTCCATCGGGCTGGCGCAGGCAGCGGGAGGAAGCCCCCTCTTCCCGCTGTGTTCCTCGAGGGCCCGGGAGGATGTCAGCCTCCAATCCAAGACCCTGCCCTTAGGCACGGGAGGTGCAGGAAAGCCAATTGTGGGAATAGCAGGGACCCAGTTCTCCGTGACGGAGCTGGGACCACAGTCACCCTGGGCCCCACCGGGCTGTTCCGCTTTGGGAGGAGCTGCTCTTGGGCTGTGGAGGGAGGAGTGCGGCCGGGCCCCAAAGGTGCAGAAGCCGCTGCCCACCCCCAATCGCGGACCTGTCTGTGTGTCGGTGTCTCTGTGTCCTCCAGGGCCCTCCCGGCTGCAGGACGCGACAGACCCTGCACCCACGGGCCACCTGCTTGCTCTGGGGACCCTACTGATGTCCACCCTGCTCCTCGCTGACGGCAGCCATCCAGAGCTCACCTGGGCCCCCGTGCAGTGGCTGCTGCGCCACCTGGCTTCCATGGGGACCCAGGCAGGCTGCTGTGGCTTGGAGCGCATGTGCCGGGCCCTCCCCAGGCACGGCTTCGCGTCCTGTGCTGTCTGTCCGATGTCCCCACACTGCCCCACCTCACACTGCTGTCCTCCCGGGCTGTGCTGTGCCCCACAGGTCTACCACTCCCGGACCCTGGCCCTGGCCTTCATGGAGCTGACTGTGGTGCAGAGGTTCCACGAGCGCGCGCACGGCCCCGACGTGCCCCCCTCACTGCGGGCCGTGCTCGGCCGGCTCAGTGCGCTCTACGCCCTGTGGTCCCTGAGCCGGCACATGGCTCTGCTGTACCGAGGTGAGGCTGCCACCCTGCCACCTGCCCACCACTTACCAGCCCGGGGCTGTAAGCATCATACACAGAGCTGTGCGTCTGTGTGGCGCTGTCCTGGTCGCGCAGCGGAGAGGGCTGGAGGAGGGGCCAGGCCACGGTAGACACAGGACAGCAGCTGTGGGCAGCGTGGGGCTGAGAGATCAGGGTGCCCTGGGGAGACACAGCTTTCCTGCATACCGGGTCTCCAGGGCAGGGATCCCTGCAGGGCCTACGCTTCTCTGGGAAGTTCAATTGACTGGGCACTGTACCTGTCAGAAAAAGTCATCACCGACGTCATTTCCAACAGGAGCACATTCCCAACGCCCAAGCCGCTGTCCCCAGGCCTGGAAGGACCCATGGGAAGGCTGTGGGGGTGGACACAGGTCTCCTGGCCTGGGTCCTGGTGGCTTTGGAGCCCCACACACCCTGCGTACTACACACTGTTTCCTGCAGTGGGGCCAGTTGCCCTGCGCTGCCTTGAACCTCCTACCAGCACATGCCCCTCTGTCCCGCCTCTGGCAGGAACCGGCCCCATCTCCCAGGCAGCCCACCACGTCCCTCAGCCCACGGGGCTTTGCCTCTCTCCCTGCCGGACCTGGCCAAGATTCTGTGTCCCCAGCCCCTGACCCGTATCCTGCCCATACACACCCAAAGAACCCAGTGGGACAAGGACCTCAGAACCAGCCTGAGCCAGGAAGTACCTTCCCAGGGTCCCAGCAGAGCTGGAGTAGGTAGCAGTGGTCCCTTGACATCTCCACCCAGACCAGACCTCAGGGCTAATTGAGGATGTGGTGTGAGAGGGCTTTGGATAGTGCAGGGCAGACCCCCGTGTGATGGAGCTGTGTTTGCAGGTGGTTACCTTTCTGGCGAGCAGGCAGGTCAAGCACTGGAGGATGCCATCCTGGACCTGTGTGCCCAGGTGAGTGTCCACCGCCTCTCCTGCACTGTACGCCACCACCCAATACTAGCTCGCCCTGGTAGGAGGCAGCTTTCTGTCACTGCCGCAACATCCCTGGGAAAATCAGCTTGGAGGAGGATGGGGTTACTGTGGCTCAGTTTCAGAGCTTTCGGTCTGTAGTCAGCTGGCTGCATTGTTTCTGGGCCTGCAGTGAGGCCCACCGTGATGGTGGGAGGGTGTGGCAGAGCAAAGCTGCTTACTGCTTGGTGGCCAGATGCAGAGAGAGGAAGGGGAGGACAAGGCAGGGTCCCCAAGACTCACTCTCCCCAAGACTCACTCGCTGTGATGAGCCCTGCACTACCACTTCCACCACCTGCCAGTAGCCATCAGATACGACCCACCAACAGGTCAGCCCAGCCATGGGGTCCGAACCGTTACCATCCAGCGCCTTCCCAGGGCCACCTCAGAGCACTGCTGCCTTGGAGACCAAGCCCATGACCGTTGAGCCCCTGGGGGCCATTCCAGACCCAAATCCTAACGCACATCTGGTGCGACGGCATCCTCTGTCTACACTTACTGAATCATCCAAGGACCAGCCATGCCAAGTGACATACTCCGTCATCTGCAGTGGCCTCAATGTCCATCTGGGTCACAGCTGTTCTTCCCCACTGCAGCATCTTCACAGGAGTGGGTACCACAGCTCCTGGGGAGGCCTCATGCTGTGACGGCACTTGGCGGGCTGTGAATGTTTTCTCTGTCCTGAGCTCTGGATACAAGTGCAAGTTGGCCAGGGCTTGGAGACAGTGCTGAAAACCAGCCGTACTTGTCCCTTGTGCCAACGTCCCTAGCTTGCTGGAAAATCAACACAAACCCTGAGAGGGGACAGCACGGTAGGGATGTGTGTGTCTGTGTGTGTGTCTGTGTGTGTGCGCACACACACACACAGGGACCTAACCTAGGCTGGGCAGAGATGACGCCTGAGTCACCCAGCTGCCTTCTCTGGCTCAGGTTTCTGTGGCCAGCTGGCCGTAGCAACCAGAGCCCGCCAGAGCTATGTTACTTAGCGGTCTCCATGGAAACTGCGGCTGTGGCCAAGTGTATGGACTCTGTTTTCCAACAGCTGAAAGACGATGCAGTGGCCCTGGTGGACGTGATCGCCCCTCCTGACTTTGTTCTGAACTCCCCGATTGGCAGAGCTGATGGCGAGGTGAGGGGAGCCCCCACCAGAGCCCACAGCGGTGGTGGCGGGTCAGGGGTCTCAAGTGCCTCCCAGACGCTGTCACTTTTGGGGAGCATCTGGGGAAGTGGGAGAAGTTGGGGACCTCACCATCCTGGAACAGCTCCGAAGTCTCAGACACCCATCCCAGATTCTCTTCCTCATGGGTCCTGGCAGGCAGGTGTGAGGTTGGCCCCTGCCCCTGTGGGGGACCCCGCGCCGAAGCCCACTGCCCTCCTTCCTCCCTCCCCTTCCTGGCTGGCAGGTCCCTGCTGCTTGGGTCCTCGACCCTCCTGGACCTTAAACCCCCTGCTATCTGCCCCCTCAACCCATTCATGCTGTGGGGGTACCCCTTTCCCTGCCCATCTGTGCACCCCATGAACCCCACATGCCTCTCTGATCTCTTCTTGCCCCCCAGTTCCAGGATGTTTAAGGAACAGGTAGGGTCCGTCTGCTCCACATGGGGCCCCCCACCAACACCCTACACCTCAGATAGAGTCAGAGCTCTTGGGTGCCCTAGGCTTGCGCCTGATCCCTGTGGGTTTGCCACTTTGATCTCACCTTGCCCTTCCCTCTGGCCCCCTATCCTCCAGCCATACACCCCCTCATTCTCACATGCCCTGGGCTCAGTCCCACCCCAGGGCCTTTGTACCTGCTGTCCACTACCCAGTGTGCCACCTCCCTGACGCTGCCTCAGACAGGTGTCCCCGCTATCCTGTCCTGTGATCCCCCAGGTACTCATCTCTGAGTGGGCTGTCTTCCCATGAGATCCCCTCCAATGATGATGCCTACACAGGCAACCTCACAGGTCTGCCAGGTGCCACCAGGCACCCACGGCTCCATGCATCTTCGACTGCTGGACGTGACATGTCCATGCGTCCAGGTCACATGCTGAGACCTTGCTGAGAACCCTGAGCTGCGACAGGAATCAGCTTCACCCCAGGCATGTCTCTCTTCTACCTCGGGGCCTGCTGACGTGGAGGCCGCACATAAGTGACAACCCTGCCCCCACCCCCGGGGACACAGGAAGTGGCACCTCGCAGGCCTGTCTGGGTGGGCAAGCGCCCCAGGCTGAGCACAGTTCGGCTGCAGCTGAGCTGGAGAGGTCCCAGGTGGGGTCAGATCGGGATGGGAGAGGCTAGTGTCCAGAGCAGAGGCTGGGGGTCCCCTGATGGGGTGCTGGCCCTGGTGCCCACGCCTGCATCCTGTGCAGTGTGTGGCCACATGCAGGTCCAGAGCAGCCTAGCAGGTGCCCTGGAGCTGCCTAGCCAGCAGCTAGCAGTCAGACGTGAGTGGTAATGCGGGACAGGCAAGTGGGGCATGCGCACCGGGCCTCACAGTTCCTGCGATCTTGGGGCACCATGCCATGTGCAACAGTTGCACTGGGCATAGGCATGAAAGCACTGCACTGAGAGTGTGGGCAGGGCATGCGTGGAGGAGGAAGGGCCCAGCTGTGCCCGCTGGCTCTGGGCACTGCGGTTAAATCTGAGCCGGCCAGAAGCATCACGTGGCAGTGTGACTTAAACAGGCGCTTTTCTGCCAGTGCTAAGACACCAATGTCCACACCTGGTGCTGCAGGTAAGAACTCACTTTGGAGTGATGCCAGGCGGGTCCGGAGTGCTGTCTCCTGCAGCAAGCTGTTAGAAAGCTCTTAGAGATGCTTCCCATCATAAGTGCGTTTTATGGTGCTTCCTACGTGAACTTTCCTAACTGCTTTCTACTAAGAGAAAGTTTGTGTAAATTAAACTTAAATCATGTTAACATTTTCCTAATGAGCGACAGGAGGGAATTTCCTGTCTCACAAAACTGCCTGAGGGGTGGCGTACGCACATCCACTGTGTAAGGGTCTCTTGCTCGAGACCTCTGTCATCCCTGCGTGCTTTACGTTCTGCAGCTCTACAAGAACCTGTGGGGCGCAGTGCTGCAGGAGAGCGGCGTGCTGGAGCGGGCATCCTGGTGGCAGGAGTTCTCCGTCCACCGACCCGTGGTGGGCAGCCTGAAGTCCAAGCTGTAAGCGCCCAGCAGCGGGCAGGCAGCTGGCGCTGAGCAAGTCCCCTGGCAAGACAGGGACACGGAGTCCAGCGGCAGAGATGCCAGGATGGTCCCGTTGCACATGGTCACACTGGGCCGGTCGTACCCGAAGTGCAGGGTCGAGCTGGGGTGGGATGATCTGCTGTAAACACCGGGAGCTCGCATGACCGCATCTTCCTGGTAAATACAGGGCTTTGGTGATCGGGATCTTACACACTCTCTTCTCAGGCACAGATGCCGAGTGTGAACTAAACTGCGTATGATTAAGGGTTTTCTGGCCGGATGATCTTTTGAATGCATTTTTTTTTTTTACACAGCTCCACTTCACTGAGAAATGACCCTTGCCACTCTGACCCTGTGTTCACTCTAGTTTGACTTTCTCACACATAATCAGTTATATTAGGACCTGATTAGTTTGTACTGTGACTCATCTGAATAACATAGTTTAAGACTTTGTAAGGATAAATTTTTATTACTTTTTTTGTGGAAAAAGAAGTTTCCACTGAGAAATTATTCTAAAAAAGCAGCACTAATAATCTGAACGTCTGGACAGTTTGGCCGCCGATGTCCCCTATGTGCAAATCACTTTGTATGTGATGTGTTTAGTCCATCTGCCCCTAAAGCAGGTGGTACCCCCCGTGCCTCTGGTCCATCCTGGGCATGCCTCAGCAAACCTGCATGCCCGACATGCCCTGCAGTGCCCGCCGCAGTGTACACGAGCTCTTCATGCCTTTTAGGGAGCTGTGGTCCTCTCAGCCCATCTCTTCTGCTGTTCTAAACAACGGGAGTGAAAGATGCCAGACTCCTGGCCATGCGATGGGTTGGTGCAGACCACAGAGTAGGCTGCAGGGGCTCGCTGATGCCCGAGGGGCTGCTCCTCCAGCTGAGTCAGGCCTCAGAGGCCCAGGGCCCTGGGGTCAGCCATCTGCCAGAGCTGCCAGCCCAGGGAGCCCGAGGGCCTGGGGTGGGGGACCTGCCAGCCCCGGAGCAGGGCTGTCCAGGAGAGCTGGGTCAGGGCACGCATCAGACGGCCTGCAGGGCCATCGGTGACCCACAGGGCACATTGCAGGGGTACAAAAGCCTACACATCCCCTGCCCAGGAGGCTGCCCACTGCCCCACCACAATCCCAGTCCCAGTCTCAGTCCCAGGCGGGGCTGGAGCAGGCTAAGGTGCTGAGGTGACAGTAGAGAAATTCTAGTCTGAGTAAAGGTAGTTTAAAACAGAAGGCAGTTAAAATTTAACCTCTGCTTTCTGCCACTGTTTCTCTGCTTGTAGTGCTGCATCAGGTGCTATGTTGGCGACATAGAAAAGTTCAGAGAAGAAAATCAATGTCACTGACAGCCTCACACTTGGAAGTGACCCCTGTGTACACTTCATTTATTCCGAGCCATGGGGCCGCAGTATTGGGGTCACTGTAACCCTCAGTTCCTGCCAGGTTCCCTCCATCCAGCAGCAAGGCCTGAGTGGTGACTGTGACCTGTGCTGCCACCTGTCCTCGTGCCTCTGTCACCGGGCCCTGGTGGTGCCCCCGCTCCAGCAGGCAGTGTGTGAGCTCACGCTGTTCCCCTCTCCAGTGGAGAGAATCTGCCTCCTTGTGCCGTTGTGAGCATTATCGTGGTTAATCCGTGAGAGCGTGTAGGTCAAGGCCTGGAATGCAGGTGGCGCCTGGGGGGTCCCCTTCCCACAGCTGCTACTCAGCGAGCAGGTGCAGGTGTGCACTCCAGGGTGGGAGGTCTCTGCCAGCGGCAGTCTCTCCCCTGCTTCCACCTGCCGCCACCTCGCATGCAGACTCCCTTTTCTCTGCTCCCTCCCAAGGTTGAGCCTATCTTGCCTTATGCACGCGCTCTGCAAAAATGCCACTTTCAGTTTTTTGATTTTAAAAAATTCATAACATTTTTACATAAGAAGAGTGGTAAACCTTCACCAGCTGTGGCACATTCCTGTGATCCCAGCTCTTGGAAGGCTGAGGCAGGAGGATCACTACAAGTTTGAGGCCAGCCCGGGCTACTTAGGGAGACCTATTTTTAAAAAAGTAGTAAACCCTCAACATACCCATTATAAGTAATTTTTCCTCCTTTGTTGTTTGCCTTCTAGTTGTATTCATCTTTCTTTTTCACACAGCAAAGCTTAAAGCTTTTAAATCAGAAATCTGCATTTGAAGACTAAGAATCATTTCTGCCTCACCCTGTGAGGCCATGGTTGGAAGCTCTGCTCTGACACTAAGAGCCTCTCCATCTTCACCTGCTTTTCTGGAAGTACATTTCAGCACAGATTGGCCGTGGGGTTATCGTGTGAGGTTGGAACCTCACATGGTCAGACCTTCGAGTAACGCACCAGCCTGAAATGCCACGGTCAGATGCGGTCCTGGCCGTATTTCTGCTCTTTTCTGTCTTACCAGCTTGTATCTTGTCCTGATGCTTTCATTGCTCTGGTCTGTATGCTTGTAATAGCTGCAGATAAAGGCCTCGTCTTCTATCTCTTTCAAAAATTTCTCAGTTATGCAAACTGTGGCATTATTCTGTCGAGGCTGGGCATTCTCCCACCTCCAAATCAAGAAAAGTTTGTTGGAATTTGTTTGGACATCTTGTCTCACTTATAGATGAACACCAGGAGAGCTTGTATCTTTATAATAAGTTATCTTTTCATCTAAGGCTGTTTCTTCAGTTTTCTTTATTTTAATAAAACGCTCTCTGGTTATTGGCTATTATATTAAAATCTTCTTTAAACATTACAGTCTTTCATTGGCTTTCACTTTGGTTTTCTCTGTGTCATTGGCAGATACGATGGTTCTGCTCTGACTTTTCCGAAGGTTTTGCCTGTCACCTAACTTTCTGGGCAGTGGTGTCCGCTGGCCCTGCAGGACTGGTCTTCCTGCTCCCCCCGCAGGGGAGGGGGCCTCTCCCCTGGCGGGGGTGCAGGCCTGTATCATGGCTGTGTGGCGGCTGTAAATTTCTGTGCCTCTCAGAGGCAGAAGACCCGCAGGTGTGGACTCTGTGCAGCTCTGGGCATAGGGAAGGGTGCAGATGGAAAGCACTTACAAAGCCACCGAGTGAGACGTAGGAGAACCAGCTCGACCCCACCGCTGCCTGTGAACACCCTGAAGTTTTTGCTGGCCATGTGGGTGTGGTTGCAGTTTTTGACACAGGGATGCTTATTGACATAGGGGAAGCATTGGGACTGTCACTTTTGCTGCCGTCCTGATAGCCCTGCGCCAGCTCTAATTGTTTTCCTGTCCTTTTTGTTTTGTCCTCCTAGATGGCCCGCTCAGCCTTTACTGGGCACCTGGCCTCACCCAGCCCTGCAGAGGGGCAGCAGGCTTGGGAGGACCCGTGTCCTGGTCACAGAGGGCTCCCTGGCCTTGTTCATGGAGGTGACTGGGTGTGGCTCAGGCCCCACAGGGGATGGGCCCCACCGGACGGTGTCCCCATCAGAAAAGGTCAGGTGGCCCTGGTGAAGCCAGCGGAGGGTCAGAGTGTCCATGGGCAGCACGGAGATAGAGGAAGTGGCACAGCTGCTGGCCGCGGCTGCCAAAGGACAGGTCCCAGAAGCCTCCACAGGCCCTGCTTTTCTCTACTTGTGATTTTTGGGCAGATGGCTGGGAAGCGACACCGTGTGTAGCACGGGCCGTGCTGTCTTCCCTGCACAACAGAAGGGTCTGCAGCACCAAGCCCAGCACGTCCTGAGGTGGAGACCAGGGCAGAGCTCTTCCTGGACTCCCCGTTTTGCGACATAGACTTGCGCGGCGAGGCTCCTGCACCTGGCTGCTGTCGCCGGCCTCAGGGACTGGTGCCGCGTGGACCCCACACTTGCCCGTGCTCCACACTGGCACTCTGCAGTGCTCCTCGTGACCACCCCTGGGTCCTCTGCCATGGCCTTCCGTGTGTGCCTGTCCGTGGGGCACCATGGGGTCCTCTGCCATGGCTTTCCGTGTGCGCCTGTCCGTGTCCTAGCTGTTCCAGACGATGACGCACCCCACATGGGGTGCCCCGGACTTGGCCACTCACTCACGGGCACCTGCACTGGGGCCTGGCCTAGGCAGAGGGCTCCCCACTGTCCACGGGGGTGTCAGTGTGGGACTCCTGCTGCTCAGTGCCCCCACGGCAACCTCCAGTCTGCTTGATCCACTCGGCAGCCTCTGCTGGCCCCGGAACGAGGGCATCCCTGCAGCTCCAGGACGTTGCACTGCCCTTTCCCATCTTGAAGGACGGACCTCCGCCAATTTCCCTTCCACCAACTGCCAGGGAGGTGCCAGCAAAGTGACACTACTGCTCTGGGACCTCAGAGGACGAAGATCCCCGCACCTGAAGCCAGGGCTGGCGGGAGGCCGGAAGCCCTCGCTCCTCCTGGGTGGTGCTGGGCTCCGAGTGAAACCCCTGACCTTCTCTTGGGTTCACCATCCCATTCGAGAGCGCTCAAGCCAGGAGGCAGCAGAGCAGAAACTGTTTGTTTTGCGAGAGAAAACATGTGGATAATCTTACAAGGGCTGAGCGCTTGGGGCAGAAAAACAAAACGGAGATCAGGGCTCACGAAATCCTCCTGGGTATTTGTTCTACAGGATGTTAATGTGGCTTGCAAAATCTTGGACATCTCTTGAAATTTTTTTATCTCTGCTCCAGAGCTAGGCTTAGAAAACAAGGTCAACTTTCAGGAACGTTGTCCTACGCCATCATCCCAAGTGGCCCTGGTCGGATCTTTTCCAACATCCTCCAGCGGGTATGTGACCACATATGGAGCAGGCCGGGTGGGCGCTGGGCCCGGGCTGCCAACCTGGCCACCGCCTGCTAGCACTTGGGCCCCCTTCTGGGCTTCCTCCAAGCTTCCTGCCTTATGAACGTTATCAGCTACAGTCAGCCCAGTGTCCTGAGGACCTACAGACAATATGTGTGAAATTCGTAACACACGCTGGCACACAGGACATCCCCTGGCCACTGAGCTGGCCCCGAGCGGCCCTAGAATGTGCCCCGTCCGCACCCTGTGCAGCTCTAGGGTGGCTCTGGGAGCTGGGTGTTCACGCCTGGCTCCAGGAAGGAAGGCAGTGGGGAGGGGCTGCCCCGTGGCATGAGGAAGATGCCGAGTCTGAGAGGACCCTTCCTCCAGTGCAGCCGGTGCTGTTGCCCACGTGTGTTCAGGGCCAGGCTCTTCCTGTGGCCTCCGGAGTTCCACTTCTGCAGTGACGCTGCCGGGACCCAGGGAGCCACAGGTGGCTCTTTAGGGCTCAGGCTCAGCTGTCTTTGTCTCCCCGTGAGCTTCCTTCCACACCACCCTCTGGGCTCTGCGCCGCTGTCGCCGCCTTCCGAACCCCAGAGGAGCTGCTGCCACCCTGCACCTGGGTGCCCGGCCCCTCTGTGACTTGCTGGCTCCCCCCCACTGCCCTGCCCAGCGGCCAAGGGTGCGGGTATCAGCTTGGCATCAGAGGCACAGTGGCCTTCATGTTCCCTAGCCAGCTGTGAGGTCAGGGACTGGGTGTGAATCGTCGCTCTCCAGCACCCTGCACAGGGCCGCACGCCGTGCCCGGCCAGCCCCACAGAGATGGATGCGGAGCAGCGGAGGGATGGACAGGCCAGGGTGGGCGGCTGGGTGGGTGGGTGAGGGAGGAGCTGGGCCAGTGAGTGAACGAACAAATGAAGTAAAGAATTGATAAACCAGTCCTGGTAGCAGGGAGAGGTCCGTCTTTCACCCAGCAATCCTGTGTCACTTAAATTCTTTAAAACCAGCATGAGAGGGAAAAAGCAAAAAGCCACGGCTCCCTTCCAGACCCGTTACACGAGCACATGCTGCTTCCAGAGGTCCTCACTTGCCGATGCCGCCGCGGGCTTGTTTAGAGGCAGGCCCTTCTGCTCCCATGCAGGGCGCCGCGTGCAAACTGGGAGGGCTTGGTGAGCAGAGGCGCCAGGGTCCCCCGGGAGCTCTGCTCACTTCCTGTTCCATCCTGGCCTTCGGGTGCAGCACGAATGCGAGCCTGGCGCCGAGGGTGGCTTCCTCCCCTCTCTACACAAGTGGGGTCAGCATGAAAGGCTGAACCCCGGGCAGGGATGCCCATCTCTGCCCAAGCAGGCTCTCCCTCTGCCACACAGTGCCATCGAGGCTGGCGTGGCCTGTCCTTCCCAGGGTGATGGCCACACGGGCTGCACTGCACCTCCCTAAATCCCTGTCTTGAAGCCCTGACCCTCTGTCCTGGGCATGTGGCCGTATGAGAGGGCAGGGCCTTTGCAGAGGACATTAAGGTAAACTGAGGTCACAAGAGTGGCTCCATCCAATCTGGGGCCCTTGCAAAGACAGCAGGACAGACACACAGAAGGTGACAATGTGGGGCACAGAGGTTCCCTCTTGGGGAAGCCAGCCCTGCAGACACGACCTGGGGTGGCAAACGTCAGCTGTGAAAGCACCCAGCCTGTGGCACTTCGTTGAGGCTCCCCTGGCACACACTGACTCTTGCTGGGAGGATTTCTGAGAGCCCAGACAGGACCAGACAAATGTGCCCATTCTAGAAGAGGAAACTAAGGCAGAGAGTGGCGTGGTCCCTCTGACCATGGGACACACAGCAGCCAGGGCCACATCCCAACCTTGTCCAGGCCACCACCGCACAGAGGACTGCGGCTCAGGGCACGGGGAAGATGTGGGTTCAGAGACGCCCCTTCGTGTGGGGACGCTGGACAGCACAGAGGCTTAAGCAATGCTGAGACAGGAGGCAGGCAGACACGGGAACTAGGGTATAGTTGGAGCCTGACACGGACAGCACCCGGGAGTTCAGGGGGAAGCCCCGCTGCCTGCCTGCATGTGTCCACGTCAGCAGGGCCAGTGGGGCTCCCCTGCCCAAGGAGCCCTCTGAGCCCAGAGAACCCAAGCTGGAGGTGAGGAAGAGAAGGAGCCCGATGCTTGCGGTCTGTCCGATGTGCTGCAGGAAGCTTTTGTTTCTAGAAGGTTCCTTCTCTCCCTCTCCTTCCAGAGCCTTCAAACCTTCATTCTGAGCTTGGGCTGAAATCCATGGAGACCCCTGGGGAAGCAGGGGCCCCACAGCCATCTGTTGATTCTTTCTGGGGTTTGGGTTCACACCAGGGGCGAGCTGTGGAGCAGAGCACAAGATGAACTCGGGCATCCGCCCTGCCCTGGCCCAGGGAGAGTCCTGAGTCTCCAGTCTGTGGATCAGACCCGGCTGGGCTGCCCGGTGAGCTCAAAGGCTCAGCGGCTGAGAGAGGCCGAGGCGACCCTACCCTACCCTGCCCTCCTCACCCATCCCAGAGAGGGCCTGCAGCGAGGGGCGGGGCCTGGGCTCAGCGGCCGCCCTCAGTGTCTCCATCTGCAGGATGGTGGTGACGGTGACGCCCGTGACAATGACAGCTCCGGGTGGGCTCCCGCCCCAGTTCCAAGGGTTCTGTCACCCGCCAGGACTAGCAGCCGAGACAGCGCTGGTCCCCAGTGGTGACGCAGCCCAGCAGGGCCCGTTGTGGGCAGCAGGGACACGGGCAGCCTCCTGCCAGCTGCTGGCGCCGGGTGCGTCTGGGCTGTGCACACCACCATCCTCGGCGTGCCAGCCTGCAGGAGCACTCAGCGGGGGACAATTCCATTCCCTGCTGCTTCAGGGCTGGCGCTTCCAGCAACACCCGCACGGCCTGCTCCCCTCAAGTGACCTCGCTTGGGATGACAGCAGGTCAAACCCGACAGGTAGAGAGGGCTGCAGCCCCATTAGCTTCTCAACACCCCATGGTTCCTCCCCCACTCCCCAGCCCCTCCCCACCCTCCCCTACCCAGGTGCCCCCCCCTACCCGAATGCCCCTCCTCCACTTCCACCCGCTCCTCCAGCTGTCCCTGAGCCCACCCCGCACAGCTGCTCCACCCGCCCCCCGTCCCTCTTGTTCTCCACCCCCTGAAGAAATGCAAAAACATTCAGTTCCCCCGTCTCCCCCGCCTGGCACCACACCGAGGCCCTCCCTGCCCCTGGGCCACCCTTCTGGGTGCTCTGCGACTTCCCCAGCCCCCATCCCGAGCCCCATGGTGGGCTCTTGCTCTGCCTCACCTGCATGAGAGCCCTGCAGGGCTCCTGCTCCCATAGATTGAGGGGTCAGTCCCTGCACTGGGCACAGGCCTGGCATCCTGTCCTGGATCCGGGGCTGGCCTCTTCTTCCAACTCCTGCTGTCCCTGGGCAGCTTTGCTAGGCCCCAGCCTGGGTGGCCAGGAGGGAAATGAACATGGTGGTGTTGGGTGCCTGGCCACCGCTCCAGGCCCAGACGGGTACAGAAGGTGTTTCCGGCATTCCCGTCTGTGAGCAGGCCCTGCAGGAATGGGCGGGAGAGGACCAGGCTCGTGCTAGGAGCTCTCAGATGGCTGCTGCCGCTGCCGCTCCTGCTGAGTGGCCGTTAGATAGTTTCGTGGGTATGGGAGAGGGGCCGAGGGGAGAGCTGGGGGCCCCAGAGCAGGCAGGACAGGACCCAGAAGCTCAGAGTGGCAGAAATCTTCGGGTGGCACAGCTGGAGAGTGCAGTTTCTTTTTTCGTTTTGGCGGTACTGAGAATGGAACTCAGGACATTCACAGTGAGCTACATTCCTAGTATTTATTTTATTTTTTATTTTGAGAAAGAATCTTGCTAACTTGTCCCGGCTGGGCTCAGATTTGTGATCCTCCTGCTTCAGCCTCCCAGAGTGTTGAGATTACAGGCTGGAAGGCAGGATCTTGTCCAGAGATGAAGGAAGGACAATCTCACTGGCCTGCCTGAGGCCTAAGGCTGTCCTCGCTGTGGTCTGTGTTGTGAATCTGGCCCCAGGACCAGGCAGCTGGGTCCAGCCTGTGTGTGGAGTGCGGTGATGGCCCCTCGGGGGTGGGTGGTTTTGGAGCGGGACCCCGCGTTTGTAAGCTGGACTGTGATCCTGGGACTTCCTCCAAAACACCCACTGCCCTCCCCGCCGCCCTGCAGCTGTTTTCCTTCACACACTCACACAAACACAACTCCAAGGAACAGCTAGCAGGACTGGGACGTTCCTGGCTCCCTGGCCCCCACAGCCTCAGTCAGACGCGGGACCCTCCCGACAGCTGGTGGGGCCCTCGGCGGGACAGAGAGGCCCCGCCGAGCAGAGGGGGCGCTGAGCAATGTGTTTCCAACGTCCCATTGGCCCCATGAGGCTCTGAGCCTGCGTGTGGGCTTTTCCCTCCCCCACCAATGCTGTTCCCTCCCACCCTGCCACCGCCTCCTCTTGGCTGTCCCCAGCCCTGTGCTCTGGCCTCCTGCCATCTCTGCCCAGCGGCAGCTTCGGTACCAGTGACCTGTGCTTGTGCAGGACAGAGACCCCGCAGACCCTGTCCTCTCTCCCTCTGGCTGGCTCTGCAGCCCTGCCTCCTTCAGGAAGGCCTCCCCAGCCGCTAGGGCAGTGCCCTGGGCACCTGCACCCCTCTAGCATCTCCCAGGCAGCCGCCAGCGTGAGAGCTTCACAGAAGCCAGACCCCGTGTCCTTCTCCCTCCTGTGTTTACCGCACAGCCGCCCTGCTCCGGGTCCTGCTTCGGATGGGAAGCCGTGGGCGTGGGAAGAGGGACCCAGCCTGCAAGGACGTCACATCCCATGGAGAGCGGTGGATTTGAAAAATAAAAACAGAGCAAGGCCGAGAAACACACACCTGTCATCTCAGCATTCTGGGAGGCTGAGGTAGGAGGAGCTGAAGGTGGGTCCCAGCCTGGGCAACTTAGCAACTTAGTGAGACCCTGTCTCCAAGTAAAAGGGCTGGGAATGGAGCTCAGTGCAAAGGCCCCGAGTTCAATCCCCAGTAATAATTAAAATAATTAAATAAAATCAGTCAGCAAGTGAATCTAGAGAATGGCAGACAGAGGCAGGGCAGTGGGCAGCAGAGGTGGGCAGCTGAGGGTCCCGGGGCGCTGAGGGCAGAAGGAAGACCTGGAGCCCCAGGACTTGGTGACGCACGGCCGGAAAGGTGTGACAGGTGGAGGGCTGAGGCCGCAGGGTGGAGCCACTGCCCCTGCGTAGGCTCCCACTGCCTGGCCAGCTGACCGGTGCCCCACCCTGCTCCCTGGGCAGCGACACCCCCACCTGCAGCCCCGCGGCCCCACCCCAGGCCTGGCTATCCCATCCTGCCTCATCCCTCCCCCCCGCAGTCTCCGAGGACAGAGGACGCCTAGGACGCATCCCTGGAATGGGTGGTAGGTGCCTGAGCTTGAAGGCTGCCACCCTTCTCCTGTGCCATGGGACCTTGTCCCCTAGGGCCCAGCCACCACCCCAGGGCCCCACCCTCGAGGGCCTGCCTGTCTCCTGTCTTCCTGTTCGGGCTCCCTCAGCCCTATCTCCTCCCCTGCCCAGGGCTCTCTGCCTCAGAACCGCCTCCTCCAGGAAGCCTTCCCTGAGCACCCCTACAGCTCCACGGGCCTCCACCCCTTGCCTCTCCTTCCTGTGCTGACTTCTCTAACACCCTTTAACACACCTGTGGGGCTTGGCCCCTGCCAGGCTCCAAAGAAGCACCCCCAGAACGGGACTTGTCTCACTGTCACCCCCAGAGACCTTCCCAGTGAGCCCAGGGCAGGGGCTGGAGTCCTGACGGGGGGCACCCTGGCTCCTGTGTCTGGCTCACCTCTAAATGCCCACTTCCTAGCCCCTGGCTCCCCGCCAGGGCCAGGAGCCCCTAAAGGCCCCAGCAGCCCCTCCGCTAGGCTCCAAGCAGAGGTACTCACACTGCTGTGTAAATTTGGGAGCACTTTCTAGGGAGGAAACTGAGTCACAGGGAGCTGCTGTTGTGCGTGACTGGGCCTGGCCTGAGGCAGGTGCACCGCGGCTCCTGCTGGTGTGAGGACAGTCGCCGGGTCTCCCTGCTGTCACCCTTGCCGGCTGGAGCCACCTTTGGCCCCAGTGCAGGTGCCCACATGGGCTCCCGGTTGGGGAGCCGGCTGTGTGGCCTCTGACTGCCACCACACTGTCCCCTTGCAACCTGGGGAGCACGGCCAGGGCCTGTGGAGAGAGGGATCAGGGCAGGTTCAGGGTTGGAAAACCGAACCCCATGTCGGCCCTGGGCCTCAGGGAGGACACCGGCTTCACAGCTGTGGGCAAATCTGCGGTTAATGTGGAGGAAGTCAGCCTGAGCCTGGAGGACAGATAGTGGCCGGACCACGGCTATGCCTCCTCACATGGGGGCTCTTTGTTCCCAACCTGGGGCAGCGCGACCAGAGCGCCGTCTTGGCCTGCATCCTGTCCTGTCTGTGCCTGCAAACAGGACGGCGTCAGCGCGGCCCACATCTGGTCCGGGAGCAGGACCAAGTCCCGCATCGCGCGGGCTGGGCCAAGTCCGCGCAGGCCCCGGTCCAGGGAGGAGGAAAACATGGCCCGCCCTACTGGTGTCCCTGAGCTCCAGATGTGCAACCTGGCGCGGGGACAGCAGTCCACATCTGGGAGAGGCAGAGTCCCCGTCCCTGCCGGGTCACACTCGCGTCACCCTTTCCCATGGCGTAGCACGAAACCTTTTCCCTAAATGTGTCTGGGACCCCAGCGGTCTGCATGCATGTCCAAGGAGTTAACTCAGGCTCGAAGCAGAAGCCAGCACTTCCTGCCCCTCCAGCCCACTCCGAGACAACCACTCCCTTTAAGAAAAGAATTCTTCTGGTATTTGCATCTACACTTCCTTACTATTCTTTTATTGTGTTGAGGTGGTTTTTTTTTTTTTTTTTTTTTTGAGACAGGGTCTTGCTGTGTAGTTCAGGCTGGCATCAAACTCTCAGTGATTCTCCTGCCTCAGCCTCCCTAGTGTTGGGATTGCAGGTGTGCACCACCGTCCCTGTCTTACCTTCCTAGACGGCTTCCTTGTATTGCTACTTCTTTATTCTGCAGCTCTGCCAGTATCTGTGGGTTTCCCCTTTAGGGGGCAGGAAACCGGCGGGGCTGTGCCCTGCTCTCTGTGCCCGCCTGGTCCAGGTCCCTCCCTACACTCGGACCGTGTGGCTGGTGTCGGAGTCATGAAAGTGTGACCTGCAGCAGAGCCATGGAATGGGCTACACTGACTTCCCTTTCTTCTTCCCCTTAGGGCATTTCCGGCCAGGCTGTTATATTATACTGTGCATGCTCAGGGCTAATTCAGCCATCTGCGCCCCCTCTCCAGGCCCCGGTGCTCCCGTCCCACTTGGCCTGCGCCCCTCTCCTGTACTGAGGGAGCCCATGTGCTACTGACTTCCGGAAGGGAGAGCAGCCGTGTCTGGGAAAGCGGAGCAGCCGCGATCTCGGCATCTGACGCCGCCCTGCTCTCCCCAGGCCTGCTGGGCGCTTTGGCTGGGGATGGAATTCCGATCCGGAGCTCAGCTCCCCAGCTGGGTCAGACCCGCCCATCACCTTCTGGTTGCTGGTGTGGAATAGGCAAGTCCAAGGCTGGTCCAGCTCCTAATGCTTCATGTAAGTGACCTGGCCCTCTTCTCTTAGCCACTCAAAAGTTCAACGAGAAGTGAAAGGGTTCCTGAAGGGTCTCCTGGTCCCCATTCCCACAGGCTTCACTGTCCCACATAGCTGGGGACCTGGGCGGCCTCTGGACCCATTCGACAATGCAGAGGCTTTGTTTTCCCTGCAGACCCATCCAGCGCGGAGCTGAGGGCGCATTGCCATTCGAGAGGGCAAAAACTCTGTCTCCCATCACCACGAATATCCCCCGTGTTTGCTGTGAGTCTTGGCCAGGCCTGGCACAGTGCCTGGTGTGTAGTAGCAGGCGGGGCCTGCGGTCTCAGCCTTGGGTCTTTCTCCCTCTGTGCCCTGATACGAGCGGCAGTCTGCCTGCCTCATGGCCCTCGCTGTCCTGCATCTGTCCCCTCGGCTTGCCACACTCTCGCCGACCCTGTTCCAGGCCACCTGTGCCAGCCAGACACACCTCCTGCCACCTTCCAGCGTGGCGTGGACCTGTGCAGCCTGCGCTCCTGAGACAGGGGCTGGACACGCAGGTGGTGAGTTCAAGGGACACTGAGCACAACAGCCAGGAGTGATGGAGCAGGAGCAGGAAGCCCTGCGAGGAAGATGGGCCAGTGACAGGTCCGGAGCCTGCTGTGGCACTGCCTGTCCAGCAGGGCAGCAAGGATACAGGAGCCAGGTGCTCACAGAGGCCTCAGGGCGGCGGGTAGCCCGGCAGGGTGTGTTCCCCACAGTGCAGAGCCCCCAGCTGCCCCCAGGAGCTGGGACAGAGCTCTCATCCTGCTCTCAGGAGGCTGCGGCCGCTGCATCCCAACCAGCCTGTGCTCCTTGAGTGTACTTAGGTGACTGACAGGCGTCCCCAGGCTCCAG